GCGAGTTCCAATGATCTTTTTAGTTTTAAACATAGCAGTTAAAAAAATTTTTCTTTTTTTTTTTTTAAATATATTTTATTGATTTTTTACAGAAAGGAAGAGAGAGGGATAGAGAGTCAGAAACATCGATGAGAATCATCGATCAGCTGCCTCTTGCACACCCCCTATTGGGGATGTGCCTGCAACCAAGGTACATGCCCTTGACCGGAATCGAACCCAGGACCTTTCAGTCCGCAGGCCGACGCTCTATCCACTGAGCCAAACCGGTTTTGGCAAAAAAAAAATTCTTATTGATTTTTTCAGAGAGGAAGGGAGAGGGATAGAGAGTTAGAAACATCGATGAGAAACATCGATCAGCTGCCTCCTGCACACCCCCTACTGGGGATGTGCCCGCAACCAAGGTACATAGGCAGTTAGGGCTTTAGCAGTGTGTTTTTGCCTAGTGTCAAGGTTCAGGCTTGGTATTTGAAGAACAAGAGGGGGAAAATTAAATGCCAGAAAACATACGAGTTTGTGGAGCAGGAAATGAGAATGGTGGTTTCCAACCTGACTTTGAAGTTTGATAAACTATGCAGTATGCAAAGGATACCACATTGTTAGGATATAAACACTCATGAAGCCCAGCAGATAAAAATATGTAAATAGTACTGCAAACAAGAAAATGATAATCAACTCAAGTGAAAATGACTAAATGATAGAATTCACAATAGAGGAAAGACAACTGGCCAATAAACACATAGAATGTTCAACATCACTCAGAATCGGCCCGTTGTAATTAAGACAGCCCAGCACAGTAATTAAGAACACTGATTGAGCCGAAACTGGTTTGGCTCAGTGGATAGAGCGTTGGTCTGTGCACTGAAAGGTCCCAGGTTCTATTCCGGTCAGGGGCATGCACATTGGTTGTGAGCACATCCCCGGTAGGGGGTGTGCAAGAGGCAGCTGGTCGATGTTCCTCTCTCACTGACGTTTCTAGCTCTCTATCCCTCTTCCTTCCTCTCTGTGGAAAATCAATAAAATATATTTTAAAAAAAGAAAAAACATGGCCGGCACCGGTTTGGCTCAGTGGATAGAGCGTTGGCCTGCGGACTGAAAGGTCCCGGGTTCAATTCCGATCAAGGGCATGTATCTTGGTTGCGGGCACATCCCCAGTGGGGGGTGTGCAGGAGGCAGCTGGTCGATGATTCTCTCTCATTGACGTTTCTAACTCTCTATCCCTCTCTCTTCCTCTCTGTGAAAAATCAAGAAAATATATATTAAAAAAAAAAGAAAAAGAAAAAACATAAAGAACACTGATTCTTGAGCCCAAGAATCTGAGTCTAAGTTTGAATTGTGGCTCGAAGGCTTTCTATCTCTAAGACTCTAGGAAAATTATTTAACTTCTCATATCTCCATGTTCTCATTTATAAAAGTGGCATAGCATTATTTATCTCACAGAATTAGTATAAGGATTTAACAGTAAACATTTAAACATTTTAAAGTGCTTAGAATAGTAACAAACACAGAAAGTGTTATAAGTGTCCGTCGAGTAAATAAAATTTAAAAAGCCATCTTACCCATCAGAACGGTAAATACTAAAGGAACTGATCGATTACATGTTGGCAAGGATTTGGAAAAACAGGCTCTGACAGACATTTGTAGTTGAAAATCAATTTAGTAATTTTTTATTAAAATTAAAAATGCCTACATGTTCTTTTGGCACAGAAATTCTACCTAGAAAAATATATCTACTTGTCGCCGGAACCGGTTTGGCTCAGTGGATACAGCGTCGGTCTGCGGACTGAAGGGTCCCAGGTTCGATTCCGGTCAGGGGCATGTACATTGGTTGCGGGCACATCCCCAGTGGGAGGTGTGCAGGGGGCAGCTGGTCGATGTTTCTCTCTCATCGACGTTTCTATCTCTCTATCCCTCTCCCTTCCAATCTGTGGAAAATCAATAAAATCAATAATATATATATATATTTATATATATACACACACACACACACTTGTGTGTCATGAAGCTCCATTCCACTGCAGCGTGGTTTGGAAGAGGAAAGAACTGAATTGAACCTAAATGTGTAGCAATAGATGGTTGTATTAGAGGTTGCAAACTGACAGCCATTGGGCCAAATTTTGTTTTGCTTAGCCTCGAGTGTTTTCCAAATTTGAATTAGTTTGCTCGGCCAGTGTGGCTCAGTGGTTGAGCACCAATCTATGAACCAGGCGGTCACAGGTTCTATTCCAAGGCAGCAGATCCATGATTCTCTCTCATCATTGATGTTTCTATCTCTCTCTCCTTCTCTCTTCTTCTCTGAAATCAATAACAATATATTAAATACATATTAAGTATTTTTTTAATTAGTTGCCAACATTAAAAAATTAGATTTATTTAAAAATTGGTATTAAAAAAAAACTCTTACAGCACTGGATTTCAAGTTAACAATCCTTTGGTCAGTGTAAAGAACTATTTCTGCTTCAAACAAAACACACCTGCTCCACTTCATCACTCTACTGATTTGTTACCTTCAGGCATTGGAGTTTGGGATTCTGGCAGGTGAGTCCTGGATCAGAGAAGTAATGAAATGCACCTAGTGATGTAAATACAATGCGGTAAATATACACTGAGGCCGAAACTGGTTTGGCTCAGTGGATAGAGCGCTGGTCTGTGGACTGAAAGGTCCCAGGTTCCATTCCAGACAAGGGCATGTACCTCGGTTGCGGTACATCCCTGGTAAGGGGTGTGCAGAAGGCAGCTGGTCTATGTTTCTCATCAATGTTTCTAGCTCTCTGTCCCCCTCCCTTCCTCTCTGTAAAAAATCAATAAAATATATTTAAAAATATATATATACTGAGTGGTCAGAGTATTATGGCCACCCCATCAGTACTTTGTTGGGCCACCTTTTGCCTTCAATACTGCAGCGATTCTTCTTCGCATTGACGCTACGAGATGCTGAAAGGTGATGCGAGGAATCTGATACCATGCCTGATGGATAGCACCATCCAGTTCTGTGAGATCTGATGGTTGTGGAACCAGCTGCCTGACGGCTCTTTTAACTTCGTCCCACAAATGCTCCATTGGATTGCGATCTGGTGATTGTGGGGCCACCTAAGCAAAGTCTCCCTCATGTTCTGGAAACCACTCCTGCACAGTACGAGCCCCATGGCCTGGCACACTGTCTTGTTGGGAGAAGCCATCTCCATTGAGATACGCCATCAACATGACAGGATGAACTTCATCAGCAACAATACTTAGGTATGTTGTGCTATTCAGATGTTGTTCCACACGAATTAAAGGGCCCCGATCATGCCAGGAAAACATGCCCCAAACCATAACACTGCCCCCTCCAGCTTGAAGGGTTGTACTCATGCATGTGGGGGGCATGCTTTCATGCTGTTTCCGATAAATTCTCACTGCCATCTGCATGATGCAACTGGAAACGTGATTCATTGGACCACAGGACTTTTTCCCCATATTGTCCAACCCTTGTGTTTCTGTGCGAATTGGAAACATCTTCTCTTGGTAACTGCAGACAGCAAAGGTGTTCAAACAGGCCTTTGGATTCCATATCCCGTATGATGCAGTGTACGGCTAATTTGCCTACAAACGTCAGGTGGTCATAATAACTTGGCCATTCAGTATATATGTAGTGGTGTGGAAAGACCACCAAGACATATTGTTGAGTGGAAAACACGCCAGATGGAGAACTCTTATTTATGTGATGCAATTGCTGTAAACATCAAGTAAACATGTATCAGGGGTGTTTCTGTTTTACCATGTTCCTAGTGTCTAGAATTGTGCCTGGCATACACTGGGAACCCAGTACATTCTTGCTGAATAAATACGTACGTATAATCGTGTAAGGACGTTGTCGGGGGGTACACACTAAATACCAGTAATTAATTCCGTCGAGGGACTGGAATTTGGGAGAGGTGGTGGTCAAGGGGTGATTGCTGTTTTTTGTTTTGCATAGTTTGAATCTTTTACAAACATAAGTTTCATTACTTCCATAACCTAAAAAAAACTAAAGAAAGGCAGGCCAGCACAATATAACATAGTGATCAAAACAAGATTTTAATTAGTCTCAATGGAAACCATCCAGAAACAAATGAATGGGGACAAAAATAGAATTCTGTAGTTATGGACAAAAAAAGCTAACTTAAATACTTAACCTCCAACTCAGAATTAACCAGTGGACTGATGCAGACCACTCTGGATGTTATTGAAGCTCCATCCACACCCGTCCTCCCTGGGGGCGCATTCTGCCTCCCACCCCCAGCCCCCAATTCCGTGCCTGTGAGCTCCTGAAGGCCCTGCACACAGCGTACCAGCTTGCTAAGATTCTAAAAAAGAAAAGACAGTTTTCCTTTTGGGGTAGGCAGCAAAGCCCGGCAGGAAACCAGCTGAAGGCCAGTGTTTGGAGATCAGACGCTCCCCCTCAAAGGGAGGCCGGCCTGGCTCCGCGGGACAGCGCGCCCGAGGTGCCAGGAATAGCCGATGCCGGCGGTTCGGAGCCAGAGGGCACCCTGCAGGGGACGGCTCCGGCGCTTTGTTTGGAAGCAGCCTTTTCACCGCTCACCGCCGGACCCGCTCTCATTGACTGCGTTTCTCCCGCCCACGGGCTTGTCGTCAGGCGCCGGCCCCTGCTCCAAGGGCAGGACGTTCCGAGCTGCTCCGAACAGCGGGAGCGAAGACCCCCACGGCGGGGCTGGCGGAGCGCTGGGCAACGGGCCGGCCGAGGCGCAGCGCTGCTCGGCCCTGCGCAGGCGCGGGGAGGCGGGCCGTGCTGCTCGGCTCTGCGCAGGCGCGGGGAGGCGGTGCTGCTCGGCTCTGCGCAGGCGCGGGGAGGCGGGGGGGGGGGGATTGCTGCTCGGCTCTGCGCAGGCGCGGGGAGCGCTGCTCGGCTCTGCGCAGGCGCGGGGAGCGCTGCTCGGCCCTGCGCAGGCGCGGGGAGGCGGGGGGGGGGGGGTGCTGCTCGGCCCTGCGCAGGCGCGGGGGGTGCTGCTCGGCCTTGCGCAGGCGCGGGGAGGCTGACTCGGCCCCTCCGCCACCCCGGCCGCGCCAGCCCCAGGGCGGCCTTTCTGGACGATCTGTAGCAAATGCGCTCGGAAGTTCGACCTTCCAGCCTTCGGCCTCCATCACGGTCCGAAGGCGCTTACGAGCGCAACAACGGGCGCCCTGTATGAGGCGGAACGCAACCCGCAAACTCCTCCCCGCCGCAGCCCCCCGCACTTCCGCCGGAAGTCGGTCCGTCCGCCAGCGTCGCGCGCTGACGTCACGGCCGCGACGGCGTTCTGGGGGCGCGCCCCGGAGGCGCGGGCGGGGTGCCGCGGGCGGTTGGGTCGCCCTGGGAGGTAAGGCGCCCTCGGCTGGGCGCTGGGCTGCCCCGCTGACTCAGGGCGCCCGTGTGTCTGTGTGGCCGCCCTTCCCGCCCTGCCCCTCGCTGTGCGGGAGGACGCGGCGCCCTTCACCCCCGCCCGGGGCCCGGCACCCACATCGTTCCCCTCTGCACCCCGGCTCCCCGGGATCAGGGGCAAGCTTCCGCGAGGCCCACCGGCCGCGACCCTAGGATAGAGGGTGGCTTCGGGGAGGACCTTCGGGCGGGTCCCCAACGTGAGCGCCTCAGGGACAGGCATCCGAGGCTCGCAGCGTAATTCTTCCCAATTAGCTTCTCCTCCGGAAGCCTAATGACCAACCCCCCGTGCACCCTGCGGAGCCCCGACTGCCCCGACGTCACATTCTGTCCCACAGCGCGTGCCTCCTCCGCGCCCCTGTGCCGGGGTGTCTCGGGCGGGTGTGAACTGACCGGTCCGCAGCCAGGTCCGGCCTCCGGGCGGAAGCTGCCTCGCGCAGCCCGGGGGTCTCCGGTGGTTCCGGGCGCATGCCTCTGCGCAGGAGGAAATGCGGTGGGAAAGCTCTGTGAGTGTTGGGAGGAGGAAAGCCAGAGCTGCCCGCCGGAAATCATCCTCCAGACAAGAACTATGTAGGCTGGAGACCCCGAGCCACCCGGTGAGAACGGCTGCTCCTTGTTCCCGGTTCATGAGTAGCTTCTAGTTGGTTATCTCCATTGGGAGTCTGGCCCGGCTCACACTTGCTAAGGCCCGGTAAACACCCCAGTTACTCACACAGCCTGCCCTTCCTGCCTCCTGCGGCCTGGCCCTGGGCCCCTGCCCGCCTCCGGGGATGCTCAGTCCAGTGGCATCACCAGATCCTGTTGGCTCCGCTCTGTGTTCACATCTGTGTGACTGTTTGTGTTTAAGGAAGTAACAGATGGTTTGTTGCTGGGGGGGGGGGGGGGGGGGAGTGTGCATGTTTGCATATTCTTTCCCACTGCATTTTGGAATCTGCAGATGGGAGATGCCCCAAAGCGGGCTGCGGTGGTTGGGTTAAGGCATTTGGGAAGGAGAGCGAGCACCCACGCCTGTGTGCTTTAAGGGCTGGTGACTTGTGTGTGTGTGTTTTTTTTTAAATATATTTTATTGATTTTGTACAAAGAGGAAGGGAGAGAGAGAGTTAGAAACATCGATGAGAGAGAGTCATGGATCAGCTGCCTCTTGCACACCCCCTACTGGGGATATGCCCACAACCAAGGTACATGCCCTTGACCGGAATCGAACCCGGGACCCTTCAGTCTCCAAGCCCGATGCTCTATCCATTGAGCCAAACTGGTCTCTGCGGGGGCTGGTGACTTTTGTTTTGGGAGCCGAGTAGGGAGTTGATGACTGAGAATAGGAGCCACACGGAATGAACCCCTCAGTGTCGCCACCCTCTTTCTGTTCCTCTGCAGCCCCAGGATGGACTTCCTGGTTCTCTTCTCATATTACTTGGCTTTGCTGCTGATTGGTGGTGTTGTGCTCTGCATCTGCTTGCAAACCCGCTACCTGAATGGCCTGGCCCGAGGGGGCGCACAGGTAACTGACACATCAGTCTACAAAGTTCACCGTTTCCTGGCGGGATGGAGGAGAGATGCCATTTTTATTCATGTGTCCCCTTGTTCTTTCATTTATGGCACAGTCGTCCTTTCTGGGGTTCCCCCCTCCTGATTGTTAAAAGTAATCCTGCATTGATGCCTTGAGAAGGTAGCGTTCTTAAGGGTGCCTGTTTTTCTCTGGATCTGATGCCTGTCGTTGGGCATGGGTTTGAGCAGTGTCTGCCCGGAGGGGCCTGAGGGTGAAACGGGGGTGGAGGGCAGAAGGCTGAGCATTGGGCTGCCCACACTCCTTCAGGGATCAGAGAGAGCAGTCAGGTGAGCAGCCCTGCGGAAGGGGTGCCCTGGAGGTGGATTTGGAAGGGAGGGTTGAACTCAGGCAGGGAAGAAGGGGCATTCCCATCAGCAGTACCTGCACAGCCACCCTTTGCTTGAAGACCCTGACATGGTGCCTTCTTTGTGGTGAGGGTGGAAATGGCGGAGCTGGCTTCAAGGAAGGCCAGCTGGGGAAGCCATCCTCTTTATTCTCTCTTAGAGCTCTTCTCTGCCTAGGTGCGGAAGCACAGTATCGCCAGTATTGGCAGCTGAGCGGGCGGCATCTGATTGGGTGTTGGGGGAGAATGAAAAATGAAACTGACTGTTTCTCTTTTCTTTGTTTTAGATATTTTCCTTTATAACTCCTGAACGGCTTCAGAGAGTCGTGCTGAGATCGCTTCATTACCTCTTTCACACCCGGTATTCTTTTGTTCTGCTTATTGTGGCGGTTGTGAGGCTTCCAGCTACAGAAAAGCTGCTGGGAAGGTCCAGAGTCCTGGCTTCGGAGCCTCTCCTCACAGATAATCTGCCTGTCCCCTCCGGGTTTGCCATGTGCACTTTTTAAAATATATATATATATATATATATATATATATATATGTATGTATATATATGTATATATATATATTTTTTTTAATTGATTTTTTACAGAGAGGAAGGGAGAGAGATAGAGAGTTAGAAACATCGATGAGAGAGAGTCATCGGTCAGCTGCCTCCTGCACACCCCCTACTGGGGATGTGCCCGCAACTAAGGTACATGCCCTTCACTGGAATCGAACCTGGGACCTTTCAGTCAGCATGTCGATTTTCTGTCCACTGAGCCAAACTAGTTTCGGCCATGTGCACTTTTAAATGGAAGTATTTAAAGGGTGGGAACAGCTGAAACCGGTTTGGCTCAGTGGATAGAGCATCATCTAGCAGACTGAAGGGTCCCGGATTCCGGTCAAGGGCCTGTACCTTGGTTTCGGGCCCATCCCCAGTGGGGTGTGTGCAGGAGGCAGCTGATCGATGTTTCTAACTCTCTATCCCTCTCCCTTCCTCTCTGTAAAAATTCAATAAAATATATTTTTTTAAAAACAAAAAACGTCGGAAGATATTGATATGCATTTCTATAAAAAGAAACATATTCCAATACTGAGATCTCAATTCCCAAGATAGACGATTATGATGATAGACAACATTTGAGTGCTGACCACGTGCTAGGCCCTGTGCCAGCTGTGTCACACCGTTTCTTAGGTGGTTCTCACAGCACCTCAAGCCCAAAGGAAGCAGCTGGCCCGGGGCTGTCCGCAGTGAGTGCTGTGTGATCCCCACGGAGGCCCCGGGACAAGCCTGTGCCGCTTCCTTTCAGAAACAATGCCTTCCTCGTCCTGCACGTCGTCTTACAAGGAATGGTTTACACGGAGTACACCTGGGAGATCCTGGGCTACTGTCAGGAGCTGGACTTCTCCCTGTGCTACCTTCTGCTGCCCCACCTGCTGCTGGCCGTGAACCTGGTGTTCTTCACCCTGAGCTGTCTCACCGACCCTGGTGAGTGGGGGCTCTTGGTATAGACAGCTCAGCTGTCGGCCTCACTAATAGTGCTGCCAACTATTAGCATTCCCTGGAAGGCCTTGAAAGGTTTGATATTTAGTGTCTTCATGATCTTTGCATGTTTTTGTGTGTGTTTTTATTGATTTCAGAGAGGAAGGAATAGGGAGAGAGAGGCAGAAACATTAGTGATGAGAGAGAATCACGGATCAGCTGCCTCCTGCACGTCCCCCCACTGGGGATCGAGACCACAACCTGTGCCCTTGACGGGAATTGAACCCAGGATCCTTCAGTCCGCAGGCCGACGCTCTATCCACTGAGCCAAACCGGCCAGGACATGATCTTTCAGTTTTGAGAGTTTTCTAATTTTTTTTTAAATATATATTTTATTGATATTTTTACAGAGAGGAAGGGAGAGAGATAGAGAGCTAGAAACGTCGATGAGAGAGAAACATTGACCAGCTGCCTCTTGCACACCCCCTACCGGGGATGTGCCCGCAACCAAGGTACATGCCCTGGACCGGAATCGAACCCGTGACCTTTCAGTCCGCAGACCGGCGCTCTACCACTGAGCCAAACCGGTTTCGGCAAGAGTTTTCTAATTTTATTTTTTCCTTTTTTGACCTTGGTTTATTTAGAACAGTTAAACATTTTCCATATGAATTCTTTAGTTTAAATTTTTGATACTTCCACTTATTACATAGAGAGATTATGGTCTGTAGGATACTTTCTTTTGAAAATGCTATTGATATTTGCATTATGCCTGGGCATGTGGTTTTTGTAAATGGTCTGTGTGTGCTTAAAAAAGAATTTGTTCTTGGATACAGAGAACTATATAAGTACATTATATCACATTTGTTGATTATGTTCAAATCTTTTACATTCACACTATGTTTTTTGTTCTATTAATGAGAGGTATGTTATCTCATTCTGATAGTAGATTTGACAGACTTTTTCTTGTAAGTTTTTTTTTTTTTTTAATATATATTTTATTGATTTTGTACAGAGAGGAAGGGAGAGAGACAGAGAGTTAGAAACATCGATGAGAGAGAGTCATCGATCAGCTGCCTCTTGCACACCCCCTACTGGGGATATGCCCACAACCAAGGTACATGCCCTTGACTGGAATCGAACCCGGGACCCCTTCAGTCCCCAAGCCGACGCTCTATTGAGCCAAACCGGTCTCGGCTTTTTCTTGTAAGTTTTTGTTTAATATGTTTGGAGACTGGTGTGTGTGCATGTGTGTGTGACTATTAGCTACTGGTGTATTCTTATTAGATACATTCACGTTTAGAATTAGTATTACCACTTCCTTGAATTTCTTTTCAAAATATAATGAACTTCTGTCACTGCTAATTGTTTTCAAGACTCTTTTGTTTGATATTAATGTTACTATACTATCTGTCTTTTGGTTGATATTTACTCCCTTCCCATTTCTTTACTTTATACCTTTCCTGTCCTTGAAGCATTAAATGTCCATCAGCTGATGAAGAGATAAAAGGTGGTATGCCTATTTAATGACTTCAGCAATAAGAGGAAGGAAGTACTTGCATCTACTATAGCATGGGGGAACCTTGAAAATATGTTAGGGAAAGAAGTCATATACAGCCGAAACCGGTGTGGCTCAGTGGATAGAGCGTCAGCTTGGGGACTGGGAGGTCCCAGGTTCGATTCCTGTCAAGGGCATGTACCTTGATTGCAGGCACATCCCCAGTAGGGGTTGTGCAAGAGGCAGCTGATCTATGATTCTCTCTCATCGATGTTTCTAACTCTATCCCTCTCCCTTCCTCTCTGTGAAAAATCAATAAAATATATTAAAAAAAAAAAAGTCATATACAAAAGACCACATATTGCCTGATTCTGTATACAAGTATCCAGAAAAGGCAGATCCGTGGAGACAGATGTGTAGGTTAGTGGTTGCCTGAAGCTAGGGGAGGAGAGAGAAATGGGGCGAAGGGATTTCTTTTTGGAGGTGATGTAAATGTTCTGAAATTGTGATTGCACAACTCGGAATTTTGAATTGTACATTTTTAAATGGGTGATTTGGGGTTTTTAATTTCTCAGTAAAGCTATTAAAATTATAAATGAGTTGTTTATTAAATACGGCAGTTTTCATTGTGCTCTGTCAGATCAGGCTTTGTGACTATCCAGTCCTGCTTGAAACTGACATCTATCCTTAACGTTTTCCAGGCACCATCACAAAAGCAAATGAAGCATTGCTTCTTCAGGTTTATGAGTTCGATGAAGTGATGTTCCCAGAGAAAAGGTGGTGCTCTACTTGTGATCTAAGGAAGCCAGCGCGATCCAAGCACTGCAGTAAGTGGCTCAGGCTGCGTCTGTAAGGGAATGTTACAGACCTGGGGGACGCCATTTGACTCCCAGAATGGGGCAGCCCTGCTGGCAGGGGCCCCATAGTGGTTTCTTTCAGATGCCTGCGGGAGGTCTTGTATTCTTCTCTAATGAGTGGGCCGCCCTCAGTCCTGGGCACACAGCTTTCCTGTGCCCCGTGGACCGGCAGGCTGCCCGAGAGGTGTCTGCAGGGTACTGTGCTTAACCAGGAAGTTTTACTAAAGCCCAAGACAAAGGAGACTATATGCATTCTTGTGGCTTCTTTGCAATGCTCACTTCTGGCTGGGCCCAGATAATCGTGTCTGTTCCTGGTGCTTGGCTGGATTTAGATAATGAAACCTGGCGCCTGATCTGAAGGTCAGGCTGACCACATACCTGCCTCTGGCAATATGTGTTTCCGGGACGTGGCTCTGCCTGGATTCAGCTGACAATAAGGAAAGAAATGCCGTGTGCCTTCCCAGGCGCTCTCTACAGGATAGGGGTGTCGAACTCAATCAGAGAAGGGGCCAAAATCTAAAATCCAGCCTAAATCGCAGGCCGAATGGTTTACTGAACAGTCATAAACTGTCATTGTGATGGAAACGCAGCGGAGTGCAGTGATGACAGCGCAGTGCGGGCCACATTGCAAGGCCTGGCGGGACGGATTTGGCCCGCGGGCCTTGTGTTTGACACATGTGCTACAGGAGATCACGGTTCAATTTCCTATCGGGGTGCAAGCCTAGGTGTGGGCTTGATCCCCAGTGGGGGGCCTTCAGGAGGCAGCCAATCAATGATTCTCTCTCATCATTGATGTTTGTTTCTCTCTCCCTCTCCCTTCCTCTCTGAAATCAATTCAGAAATATATATATATTTTAAAATTATTCATGGGATAATTTATATTCTTTTTCATACTAAGTCTTTGAATCTGATGTGTATTTTATGTTTACAGCACCTCTCATCCAGACCCTAAATTTTCATTGAAAATACTGGATCTGGCCAGGACCGGTTTAGCTCACTGGATAGAGCTTCGGCCCGCGGACTGAAACGTCCCGGGTTCGATTCCGGTCAAGGGCATGTACCTTGGTTGCGGGCACATCCCCAGTGGGGGGGTGCAAGAAGCAGCTGGTCGATGTTTCTCTCTCATCGACGTTTCTAATTGTCTGTCCCTCTCAATTCCTCTCTGTGTAAAATCAATAAAATATATTAAAAATAAAAAAAAAGAAAATACTGGATCTGTATTTAGATTTCATACAACTTACAGTTGGAATAGCAGATTCACTTACCCAAGCTATTCACAACATTTTTATAAGTTTTTTGGTAATTGAATCAGTACCAAAAAGTCATTTCCTTTAATATCCACATCTACATTAATATGTTTTACCTTTGTCAGAAGAATTGATTTGGCTTTAAAGCAAAGGCATTAGTTTTGAAACTAAGTTTAGTAAATTCACTAACTCTTGCGTCATCTCAGTATTCAGATTGAACTCAAAAGGGTTATTTCACAAATTGGAAAATATCTGTACATTTATTAATATCAACAAAGTATTTTTTCAAGTGTTTCTCGTAGCCACATATCTAGTTCCCAGTACCCACCTGTGGCTGGGCGAGTGCCTGCTGTATTGGACACTGCAGTCCTAACAGCTGGGTGACAGCAGCTGCCTGCCATCCCCCCAGCTCAGACCGCCGTTTGTAGCTACGTCAGCGGGGGTGCGTGGTGCCATTGTCTCATCGGACCGCCGGTGTCTGCAGGTGTGTGTAACCGGTGTGTGCACCGCTTCGACCATCACTGTGTGTGGGTGAACAACTGCATCGGGGCCTGGAACGCCAGGTATTTCCTCCTCTACCTCCTGACGTTGACGGCGTCAGCTGCCGCCATGGCCGTCGTGACCACCGTGTTTCTGGTCCGGTTGGTGGTAATGTCCGACTTGGACCTGTACGTCGATGACCAGGATGTTGACACCATCTTTCTTATTCAGGTAATCGGTTATTCTGGTTATTTTGTTGTGGGCTGTATATTTCTGACTTCAGTTTCAAATTGGGAAAGGGACATTTTGTTTTCCCAGTAAAAACATGAAGCCATTCCTTTTAAAAGAAATATAATATAATCTTTGAAAATTGGTAAATAATTCACATGCCGTAAAATTTACTCTTTCAAAATATACGATCCAGTGATGTTCGTATGTGCAGGGTTGTGTAACCATCAATCCTGATTTCAGAATATTGCATCACGACAAAGTATTTCCTCAGCCATTCCATTCTCCCCCAGCCATGGCCCCGCTAATCCACTTCCTGCTCCTATAGATGTACCTTTCTGGCCATTTGCTATCAATGGAATCACACAATATGTGGCCTTTCAGATCGGCTTCTTTCACGGAGCATAACTTTTTCAAGGTTCATCCATGCTATAGCATGAATCAGTACTTCATTTCTTTTTTTTTAAAATATATATTTTATTGATTTTTTTACAGAGAGGAAGAGAGAGGGACAGAGAGTTAGAAACATCGATGAGAGAGAATCATCGATCAGCTGCCTTCTGCACACCTCCTCCTGGGGATGTGCCTGCAACCAAGGTACATGCTCTTGACCGGAATCGAACCCGGGACTTTTCAGTTTGCAGGCTGACGCTCTATCCACTGAGCCAAACTGGTTTCAGCAGTGCTTCATTTCTTGTTATGGCAAAGATCCCATTGTGTGGGATTGCCACACTTTGTTCCATTCTTCATTTGATGGACATTGGGGCATTGTCACTTTTTGGATATTTTTGAATAATGCTGCTATGAGCATTTGTGCACAAGTTTTTGGGTGGACGTAGGTTTTTATTGCTCTTGAGCTGGATAGCTGAGAGTGGGCTTGCTGGGTCATAGGGAAACTCAACATCTGAGGGACTGCCAGCTGGTTCCCGGAGCACGGCCAGCACACAGTGTTCCTGCTTCTCCATGTCCTTGCCAACAACTAATATATATTTTTTTAATATATATTTTATTGATTTTTTACAAAGAGGAGGGAAGAGAGATAAAAACATCGATGAGAGAGAGTCATCGATCAGCTGCCTCTTGCACCTCCCTACTGGGGATGAGCCCGCAACCAAGGTACATGCCCTTGACCGGAATCGAACCTGGGACCTTTCAGTCTGGAGGCCGATGCTCTATCCACTGAGCCAAACTGGTTTCGGCCACCTAGTATTTCTTATAGTCGTCCCAGGACTGAGGGTGGCGGTAATTTCTATAGATATGCTAGAAAATCATTACATTTTGCACTGCTGTTGTGCACCTTAAAGATACGTCCATTATATGTTAAAGCTGGGTGGGGAAGGGGAAAAAATTTAAAACATCTTGGAAAAAAGAAATGAAAACATACCCCTCTCCTCCCAACACTTTCACTCCCCAGAGGCACCTCCTTTGTCGCTTGGTGGGTATATTTCAGGCCTTTTTCCTCCGTCTGTTCATGTGGCCATACATGTCCATAGAGTCGTGTTTGCACAGTCAGGACCCATGGTGATCCTTGCGTCTTGTCTTTCTCACTGGGCAGTACATTACCAACATCTCTTCCAAATCATTACACGGACGTTGGCCATCTGGTCGGCTCCTGATTGTGCCATGGTGTGACTGTCCCGGAGTCTTCCTCTGCCTCATGGATGCACATTCCATATATTCAGTGCCCTGTACAGTGAGCACCTTGCACAGTATCTCTGGCTGTTCCATTTTGAGAGAGAGAGAGAGAGAGAGAGAGGGAGGGAGGGAGGGAGGGAGGGAGGGAAGGAGGGGCCTTCTGTCCATCTGGATTTCATTGTGATGCATGAGCTCAGAGTTACATCATTTCTTTGTGTTTTTATAAGAAGGTAAGAGGCATAGCACCATCTCCTGAGTATCTTTCCCTTTCCTCCAGCGCACACCCTTGGTTTATCCCATGCTGAGCTCCTGCATATACCGGTGTCTCCCGGGCTTTGGTCAGTGCTGTGATGGTTCTGACTTGTGTTGAGTGGGTAGATGTGCACGGAGGGGGTGAGCTGGAGGCGGCTCTGACAGTCTCTGGGTGAGACCAGGGCTGGCGGGCGGGCGGGCTGGCCCTGCTGTGTCAGCCCGGCCTCACGTGCGCTGCTCTTTGCCCAGCGCCTGTTCCTGACCTTCCCGCGGATCGTCTTCCTGCTGGGCTTCGTCTTGGTGCTGAGCTTCCTCCTGGGCGGCTTCCTGTGCTTCGCACTGTTCCTGGCTGCCACCAACCAGACCACGAACGAGTGGTGCCGAGGGGACGGGGCCTGGTGCCGGCACTGCCCCCCGGCGGCCGGGGCCCGGTCAGCAGAGCCCCGTGCCTACCGGAACATCCACTCCCATGGGCTTTGGAGCAACCTCAGAGAGATCTTCCTACCCTCTACTGCACATGGTGACAGAAAGAAGAAATGAGGATGGAAGAGTGTTACTGCCTTTTAAATATAGTTAATTTTAAATATAGTTCATTTATTTATGCATATGGATACTTTCTAAGCATCTTTTTTTTTTTTTTCTGTTCTGTGTTTATATCAATAAATTGCCTTTCCGTGGTTAAGGAAGGGGAGAGAAAGGTAGGGCTTACTGAGTGCCTCCTGGAAACCCGCCTTGGTCACCCTCTGCTCACTCAGCCTGTGGGAACAGAGCTTCTGGAGTCCTAGTGACCTCTCAGGTGCCCAGACCTTGGTCTCCCACTAGACGTGGCTCCTGAACAGGAGGGGCCCTGGGGCTGTGTCCCGCGGTGTGCAGGAGGGTCTCAGTAGCTTGGAGTTGTGCCTGGCTCTGCCTTCTTCATGTCCTCATCTCTCCCAGGCGCAGTGGTCGGCAAACTCATTAGTCAACAGAGCCAAATATCAACAGCACAACGAATGAAATTTCTTTTGAAAGCCAAATTTTTTATTTTTTATTTTTTTAAAGATATTTTTATTGAATTTTTTTTACAGAGAGGAAAGGAGAGGGATAGTTAGAAACATCGATGAGAGAGGAACATTGATCAGCTGTCTCCTGCAAAACCCCCCACTGAGGGTGTGCCTGCAACCAAGCTACATGCCCTTGACCAGAATCGAACCTGGGACCTTTCAGTCTGCAGGCTGATGCTCTATCCACTGAGCCAAACCTGTTTCAGCAGAAAGCCAAATTTTTTAAACTTAAACTTCTTCTAATGCCATGTCTTCAAAATAGACCCTCCCAGGCTTTGGTATTTTGTGGAAGAGCCACACTCCAGGGGACCAAGAGCCGTATGTGGCTCTCGAGCCACAGTTTGCCAACCACTTTCCGGGTGCAAGGTTTGACTTCTTTTCTCCATTTCCTTAACTACACCTGCACCTCCACCCTGGCCTGCTGAGCTTGTGGCCTCCTGTCAACCCTCCACTGACCTCTTGTGGCCATACCAAGTATTTTGAGTCCTTTTTTTTAAAAAAAATTGTTTTTGATAGGTTTTAGGAAGGGGGAGAGAGATGGACAGACAGAAACATCAATTTGCTGTTCCGCTTATTTAAGCATTCGTTGATTGCTTCTAGTATGTGCCTTGCCCCGAGATCAAACCAGAAACCCTGAATTATTGGGATGATCTAACCAGTGTCTGCCCTGTTTTTTAGTTCCTAACTAAGCACAAGTAATTCAGTGCAGAGATGAGTGCTGAAAAAGACTCCTAGGAAGTGCTGAGGGTTTGGATGGGAGAGCCGTTGGGAGCAGAGGACCGAGGTTCCCCCCAGGCCGCTCGGAAGGGGTTGGGGGACAGGAACTGGCAGGGAGGCGTCATTTGACATCGTAGCCCCTTGAGCTCAGACGAGATACATTCTTTAAAGTGAACTGCCAGGCTGGGCCCGTGCCCTGCGCTGCCACCTGTGCTCGGTGGTGTGGTGGGAAGGGACAGTGAACGTGTAGGCTTTGAGCCGGCCTTGGGGACAAAGGGAGCGGCGTCTGCCCGTCTTGCGGGGGCGGCGGAGGGGAGCCCAGGGCCCAATGAGCCTGGATGGCGGGTGACGGCCTTGGCCGCGGCGGGCGTCCACCTGCGCGCCCGGGGCCCAGGGCGGTGACGCGACGCGGGGGCGGGGCCTGGGCCTGCGGGCGGCGCCCTTCCGCGCCCGCCGCCAGGTGGCGCCCTCCCGAGAGCGGGCGCTCGGCGGGCGGCTTGACCCCTGCGGGCCGCCGTCGCCGCTCGGCAGTCCCCGCCGTTCGCCTCCGCGGCGTCGGCTCCCGAGCTCCGCGCCGCAGCGCACCGGCTTCCCCGCTGGCTGGCGGGCGGGATGGCCCCCTGAGCGGGCCCGCGCCGGCAGCGGCGGGCGGGCGGGCGCCGCGGCCCAGGCCCGGCGCGGCGGGCGGGGCGCGGGCCGCGGCCTCTTTGTCTGCGGGGCGGCGGGCGCGGCCGCGGGGCGCGGGGCGGAAGTCCCGCCGCGCTCGCGGCGCCCCGGCCCGCGGCGGCCGCGCCATGAGCGACATCCGCCACTCGCTGCTGCGCCGCGACGCGCTGAGCGCCGCCAAGGAGGTGCTGTACCACCTGGACATCTACTTCGGCAGCCAGCTGCAGAGCCAGGGCGCGCCGCTGCCGCTCGGCGACCAGGGCCCCGTGGAGCTGCTCGAGGAGTTCGTGTACCAGGTGCCCAAGGAGCGCGGCGCGCAGCCCAAGGTGCGGGCCGGCGGCCGAGCGCCGCCCTCCGGCTCCCTCTCCCTTCCCGTCCCCGTCCCCGTCCCGTCCCTCTCCCTCTCCCTCTCCCTCTCCCTGTTCCTCTCCCTCTCCCTTCCCGTCCCCGTCCCCGTCCCGTCCCTCTCCCTCTCCCTCTCCCTCTCCCTCTCCCTCTCCCTCTCCCTCTCCCTCTCCCTCTCCCTCTCCCTCTCCCTCTCCCTGTCCCTCTCCCTCCCCGTCCCCCTCCCCCTCCCCGTCCCCGTCCCGTCCCTCTCCCTCTCCCTCTCCCTCTCCCTCTCCCTCTCCCTCTCCCTCTCCCTCTCCTCTCCCTCTCCCTCTCCCTCTCCCTCTCCCTCTCCCTCTCCCTCTCCCTCTCCCTCTCCCTCTCCCTCTCCCTCTCCCTCTCCCTCTCCCTCTCCCTCTCCCTCTCCCTCTCCCTCTCCCTCTCCCTCTCCCTCTCCCTCTCCCTCTCCCTCTCCCTCTCCCTCCCCGTCCCCGTCCCCCTCCCTCTCCCTGTCCCTCTCTCTTCCCGTCCCCGTCCCCGTCCCTCTCCCTGTCCCTCTCCCTCCCTGTCCCTGTCCCTCCCTCTCCCTCTCCCTCCCTGTCCCTGTCCCTCTCCCTCTCCCTGTCCCTCTCCTTCTCCCTCTCCCTGTCCCTCTCCTTCTCCCTCTCCCTGTCCCTCTCCCTCCCTGTCCCTCTCCTTCTCCCTCTCCGTCCCCGTCCTCCCTCCCTGTCCCTCTCCCTGTCCCTCTCCCTCTCCCTCTCCCCGCGCGGCCACGAGGGTTCGCCGGGCTCGCTCCCGCCCTCGGTCCCGCCCCTCCGGAGGCCTGAGCATTGCCCTGCGGGTGCCTGACAGCCGTGCTCCCCGCAGGGCGCGCCCGGCGCTGCCCGGACGTGTGGTGACACCCCGGAGCCGCGGGGGATCTCCCCGGCACCGGGCTTGGGGGGGGGGGGGGCAGTGCCCTGGGGAAGAGAGCGACCTGTTTTCTAACTGTGTGAACCCGTGTGCCTGTTACTGCTCCGTGTCTCATCGCCTCTCCCGGGTTTGTTTTTATAGAGATTGAATTCACTCCAGGAGCTCCAACTGCTTGAAATCATGTGCAATTATTTCCAGGACCAATCCAAGGACTCTGTCCGGCAGATTATTTTCTCATCCCTTTTCAGCCCCCAAGGGAACAAAGCGGATGACAGCCGGATGAGCTTGCTGGGAAAACTGGTCTCCATGGCGGTGGCTGTGTGTCGAATCCCAGTGCTGGAGTGTGCAGCCTCCTGGCTCCAGGTACCTCTCCCGACATGGCCTCCAGCCTCCAGGAGGGATGTGCCAGGAACTGGGTTTCTTGAGGGGCCCTGGCCAGGTGCTGTCCACTTGGTGTCAATAGCCCGCATGCTGACGCCCCAGACCCATCTTTATATACAAGGGAGGAATTCTGGAGGAAGCAGTAGTTTGTGATGGTACATTAACTTTAAAAAGTAAGGCTCTGTCTTCAGAACGAGTGAAAAATCACTTTTCTTGGTTGAAAATGATAGGTAGGATCATGAAATCAACTATGCAGATAGCCTTGGACATGTTTTGTTTTTTTAAAAATATATATTTTATTGATTTTTTTACAGAGAGGAAGAGAGAGGGGTAGAGAGTTAGAAACATTGATGAGAGAGAATCATCGATCAGCTGCCTCTTGCACACCCCCTACTGGGGATGTGCCCGCAACCAAGCCAACGCTCTATGCACTGAACCAAACCGGTTTCGGCTGGGGTTTGTTTTTTTAAGATCATTACCTGTCACCGTGGCATGCTCGCTTACTTTCTGTACAGTTGGGTCAGCCAGCATGGGTGCTGTTTGCATTGCTGTAGGATGGCATTACAGCGTGGGTGGCTGTTCTAACGGACAGGGACCTCAGAGCTTTCCAGAGTGTTCTTATTTATTTACCTTTTACAGAGGGAGGAAGGGGGAGGGATAGAGAGATGGAAACGTCCACGAGAGAGGAACGTCATCAGTTGGTTGCCTCCTGTACGGCACCCACTGGGGATTGGGCCCAAAACCGAGGTACGTGCCCTGACCAGAATCAAACACGGGACCCTTCAGTCCACAGACTGTCAAGATCACCTCTATCACCCTAACCGGTTTGGCTCCGTGGATAGAGCGTCGGCCTGCAGACTCAAGGGTCCCAGATTCGATTCCGGTCAAGGGCATGTACCTTGGTTGCGAGCACATCCCCAGTAGGAGGTGTGCAGGAGGCAGCTGATCAATGTTTCTCTCTCATCGATGTTTCTAACTCTATCGCTCTTCCTTCCTCTCTGTGAAAAAATTAATAGAATTTTTTTTTTATGTGTTTAAATATTTTTCTTGTAACTTTTTTTTTTTTTTTTAACTCCTTGCCCAAGGATATGTTTTTATTGATTTGTTTTTTTTGGAGAGAGAGAGCAACATCTATGTGAGAAACATCACATGCCTCCTATATCCACCCCAACTGGGAATTGAACCTGCAACCTAGGAATGTGCCCTGATCCAAGTCAGTCTCAGCAACCTTTTGGTGTATGGGGTGACGCTCCAACCAGCTGAGCCACCGGGCCAGGGCGTCTTGTAATCTTTCTTACCGTTAAAATTTGGCTAGTGAGCCTTGGCCGGGTAGCTCAGTTGGTTAGAGCATCGTCCCCATACACCAGGGTTGTGGGTTCGCTTCCCAGTCAGGACACATAAGAATCAACCAAGTGGAACAACAAACTGATACTTCTCTCTGAAATTAATTTTCAAAAAACTTGGCCAGCAGAAAGATACGTTTATCTTTGTAGTACACAGGCAGATCTCAGTGGAGTCTGATTTCTGGGCCGTCTGTGACCTCTATCCTTTGACAGCCTAGTGCAGTCAAAGTTAGCACCTTGTGACCCATCACAGAATTTCCCCTCTCTCTCCCTCCCTCCCTCTCTCTCCCTCTCTCTCTCTCTCCCTCTCCCTCCCTCTCCCTCTCTCTCTCTCTCTCCTCTCCTCTCTCTCTCTCTCTCTCTCTCTCCCCCCCTCTCTCCCCCCCCCCCCCCCCCCCCTCTCTCTCTCTCTCTCTCTCTCTCTCTCTCTCTCTCTCGGCACAGTCGGGCTGGCATTCTGGCAGAAGGAGAGCAGATGGGAGCAGCAGGACGGGGTCTCTGTGGTCTGGGCCGGGGTTCGCCTCGCTGGGAGGGCTGAGCCTCCGCCCGAGATAAGGCAGAGGTGGATGGAGCGGCGTCGTGGGCAGAGTTTGGCCTGAATGGGCCGTCTGGCCTGCGGTCTGCTTGCAGTGTCCCCTGGAGGGTAACAGCATGGCCTCAATCAAATCGTGCACCTCAGTTTTCCTATTGGTAGAGGGGATAACAGTGTCTGCCTGGAGCGGCGCCTGAGTGTGAAGGAACAGGCCGGGTAGGGGGCGGGAGTTGAAAGCACAGGGAACGGTGAGGACAGCACGCCTGCTCCCGGAGGCTCACGGCCAGTCACTGCCCGGCGGGTGGGGCTCGGCCGCAGTCTCCCAGGGGAAGATCAGAAAGATCAGAATGATCTTTCCCTGGGAGACTTCGAAGCTTGTGGAGAGGGCAGGGTAGCAGGTACTTCAGGCTGCGCATCCGCTCCCGCCCGGGGCAGCCTCGTGGGCGCGGAGCTGGTCTGCGGGCGGGAGGTGCCAGCTTCCGGTCCGGCCCGCCGGAGGGCTCCGCCAGGCTGGCCCCGTGGTGACGCGCTGTGCCCCGCAGCGGACGCCGGCGGTGTACTGCGTGCGGCTGGCCAGGGCCCTGGTGGACGACTACTGCTGCCTGGTGCCCGGCTCCGTGCAGACGCTGCGGCAGGTCCTCGGCGCCAGCCCCCGCTTCTGCTGCCAGTTCGTCACGGCCGTCACCGCGCTCTACGACCTGTCGTCAGGTAGGCCGCTCGCCCGCCCTCCTTCCTGCCCACACCACTCACAGGTGCTTCTCCCTGAACCGTTTTAAAAATTTTTAAATATATTTTTATTGATTCAGAGAGAAAGGAAGAGGGAGAGAGATAGAAACATCCATGATGAAGAGAATCATGGATCGGCTGCCTCCTACACGTCCCCCATTGGGGATGGAATCGAACCCGGGACCCTTCAGTCCGCAGGCTGATGCTCTATCCATGCTCTAAACCGGCCGGGGCTCCCTGAACCTTTGAGTTTGTTGCCAATGCCAAGCGCTGAAGCATGTGTTCGCCTCACTTATGGGGCCATGATGTCATGGCCGCCCCGAAGACAGGAGGTGTGAGAGGCCGGTGCTCGCCGTCTCCCGGAGCCTGGGTCAGACCCCCGGGGCCAGCGCGGGAGCGTCCGTCACGGAGCGCGTGTCACTGGTCTTTGGGTCCAGAACAGCCCCCCGCGTTGGCGGTTGTGTCCGCGGACATGGACGGCTGTGGTGCAGCCTGTCGCTCTGTCGGGCTTCCGGGGCTGTTTCCTGTGAGAAGGTTCGCAGGGAGCACCTCTGCCGCGGTCCTCCCTCGCCGGGCCCTGTCCTCGGCGCCTCTAGCCGGGCAGCGTGCCCCTGGGCCTGCTCCTCTGAGGTTTTTATTTATTTATTTATTTATTTTTATTTTTTTGGTTCTTATTTTTTTTTAATGTGTTTTTACTGACTTGAGAGGGGGGAAGGGAGGAAGGGAGAGAGAGAAACATAGAGGTGAGAGAGAAACATTGACCGCTGGCTCTTGCCTGCCCCCTCTGGGAGATGGAGCCCACAGCCAGGCATGTGCTCTGCCCAGGAATGGAGCCGGCGAACTCCTGGTTCCTGGGATGATGCTCGGCCGTCTGTGACGTTGACCCAGTAGCTAGCAGCTGTTAGCAGCCGGGAGCACTGTTCAGGCTTTGCTTTCCAATAAGAAAGACTTAGTAAAACCTCGTTTACCGCATCCTCGTTGCCCTTTCCGTCTGCTGCTATTCTCGGCCACAGGGACAGAAACTGGCCTCAGCATTGGGAACGGGTGACCAACACGGAAAAGAAGTGATGTCCAGAGAACACCAATAACGTTCTAGAATGGACGTGGGACGTGGTCTTCCTCTCTCAAGCCAGTGTGCGAGTCGGGGTGTCAGCGGTTTCTCTCACACCGTTTGGGGCAGGGGGCTGCACGTGAGAAGCTGTGCCTACTCACTGGACCAGCTGCCGCGTTTGGAGAAGCGGGATCCCCGCGCGCAGGGAGAGGCAGCCCTGGAGGCCAGGCCGGGGCGCTGCCTGCGGAATGGCGGAGCTGCTGGGAGCAGAGAGAGAGTCCGGGGTGTCTGTGCCTCAGAGCCACAGGGAGCTGCTCCCAAAGCCAGCAGGGCCTCAGGCTGAAGGGAGCGGAGGACCAGGACGGGGTCTGCTAGGAAGGCCCAGGGGTTATGTGCTCATGCCAGAGAGAGGCTGTGAGACTGGAGGCCCCTCAGCTTAGGTTGGGGGGGGGGGGGGGCAGTGTATGCCAGAGAGAGGCTGTGGGACTGGAGGCCCCTCAGCTTAGGTTTGGGGGCAGGGAGCAGTGTATGCCAGAGAGAGGCGTGGGACTGGTGTTTCCAGAAAGGAGTGTCGGGGGAATTGGGATCACACACAGGGTCGCCCACTGTTCATGTTGTCACGTCAGAGTCCTAGGCAGCTGCTTCCTGTGTGGCCATCACTCAGCAGAGGGGGAGGGGGGATGTGGTGGCATCACACCCAAACCGCAGGCACAGTCTCAGGGAGGAGGGCGTGTCTCCGGAGAATGAGCCTCGGGAATCTGTCACCGATGTTCCCGACCCCCTGGGCCCTGAGCTGAGGGAGCACAGCCTGCACAGCCCCTCCCCCGCCCCCCATGCAGCCAGCGAAGGGCATTGCACGCTGCTCCCAGGGCCATGCCGGGGGCCGCGTTCAGAGCCCGGCCACCCGGGGTCAGTTGGGCCCGGCACATCCGTGTGAGGAGTCCTGGGGAGGTGACTCCCGTCCCTGTGCCTCGGTGTCCTGGGGTGTCAGGGTTAACGAGTGCACTGTGGAGAGGAGCAGGCCGGTGCCGGGACACCGAAGCCCACAGGAAATGTCCGCGTCCCTTTTCACTCTTCCCTGTCTGAGCCGCAGAGCGCCCGGGCCCAGGCTGCTGCCCAGACAGGGCTGAGGGGGCTCTGGCTGCTGGCGTCACCGGCCGACCTCTGGCCGCTCCTGAAGTCCACGTAGCTGCCACGTGCCCTGGGGGGGGTGCCAGCACCAGCCGCAGCAAAACCTCCTCCGGGAGGGGCGGCCGCGGGTGAGGCGGAGACGTGGAAAGGGGAGTTGGACTGAAAAAGACACAGCGGACTTTCCTCGAGGCCTCGTGGCGTTCTCGGGGATGGCTGCGTTGACGAGTCTCTCTGAGCCCTGCCTTGGCCAGGCGGTCCTGCCCGAGACAGGAGTCCCTCGTGGCGGGATGGCCGGGAAGGGGACAGAGCGGACGAGCGGAGTGGATAACGGGCGTCTCCGTCTCGGGGGCCGGAACCCCCCTGACGCGGCCTGTCTTTGCAGACGACCTCATCCCGCCGCTGGACCTGCTGGACATGATTGTCTCCTGGATCTCCGAGGACTCGCGGCTGATCCTCATCACCTTTTTAAATACTCCGATCGCGCCCAACCTCCCCATCGGGTTTTTAGAGCTCACCCCGCTCACGGGACTGATCCGCTGGTGCGTGAAGGCCCCGCTGGCCTACCGGAGGAAGAAGCCCTCCCTGGCCAACGGCCACGTCGCCGCCAAGGCCCCGGACGCCGCGGCGCCCGACAGGGACCCCCAGCTGCTGTACTCCAGGCTGCACCTGAGCGTGCTGCAGGTGCTCATGGTGCTGCAGGTGCACCTCACCGAGAAGAACCTCTTCGGCCGCCTGGGCCTCATCCTCTTCGACCACATGGTCCCGCTGGTGGACGAGATCAGCCGGCTGGCGGACGAGCTGAACCCCCTCCACGCCTCGCAGGAGATCGAGCTCTCCCTGGACCGCCTGGCGCAGGCCCTGCAGGTGGCCATGGCCTCCGGCGCGCTGCTGTGCACGAGAGGTGGGTGGCTCCTGCCTCGGCCTTCCCGGGGGCGCGACCCCACAGCCCCCCACAGAACACGGGGCCCTGGACGGCGCCGGGTGCTGCCTCTCCGGGACTCCTTCCCGGTAGGGAGCGTGGGGAGGGGGCGGCTCGGACATCCCCGGGCAGAGCATGTGATCGTGCTGTCGCCGTGGCGCCTGGCTGCCGCTGCAGGACCCGACGCCTCGAGGGGTGGGAGCTTAGCATCCGTCCTCGGAGGCGGGCTCCTTTTCTGCGAAGATTCCCTTTCATTCCCTCTTTGAGGCATGATTACCGCGGGAGAAGGCATGGGCTGAAACGCGTAGACATTCCGCTCCCTGTGGAAAGGCGCCCTAATTCTCCTGCGTTCAGTGCTTGATGGCTCTCGGGTGAAGGAGCCTGTGCTGATGACAAACCTGTGTTCCCCCTCTCCCTGTTTTTTGTGTTTTTGGGGGTGAGGGTCGTTGGTTTCAGAGAGAGAGGAAGGCAGAGGGGGAGAGGGAAACGTTGATGTGAGCGGGAAGCATGGCTCAGTTGCCTCCCATACGCACCCTCCTCGGATCAAACCTACCACTTGGATACATGCCCTGACCAGGAATCGAACCAGCAACCTTAGGTGTTGAGGGCGACACTGCAGCCAGCGGAGCCACGCTGGCCAGGGCTGTGCTCCCCTTAGGGCCATTGGCTCCCAGCAGCTGCCAGGCCCCCCGCCGCCCAGGCCGAGGTCTCTGGTGACGGGCTTCCATTTCACCAGCCGGTCCTGCCGCGGGCGGCTGATCTGCTGGGGAGAGGCCGCCTTCCGGCTCTGACACTGCCCGCCGAGCTGCCCCCCAAGCGACGGTTCTGTCTGGGGCCCCACGTCTGTGAAAGCGAGCTCGGGCTGGGGGGGGGGTGTAGAACGCAGCTTTTGAATGACGTCCGGGAGGCGGCGCCTCCGGCCGGGTGGCTGCTCACCAGTCCCTTCACACTGGCACCTTCAGAGGGCGCCCAGAGCCTTCCCTCGTGGCCTCCGTCTCCCTAATTCCGCGTCTCTTGGTTTCAGAGGACCTGAGGACCTTGTGCTCCCGGCTGCCCCACAATAAGTAAGTGCCCTCTCCGGACCGCCAGGCGGGTGGGGCTGGGGGGAGCAGGGCAGGGCGGGCCCCGTCCGAGCCTGCAGGTCCACGCCTCTGTGTAAGGAGGCCCTAAGGACTGACGGTAAGCGGGGACAGATGGGGTGGCGGACCCACAGGAGAGGAAGGCCACGTCGGGGTACAGCAGAGGTCACAAGGTGAAGCAGGAGTCGTCTTGCTGGAGTCGAGGAAAGAACTGGCATCAGTGGAGGGTCACGCTCACTGGGCCCTCGTGCACCTGCCGGCTGTGGTGGCCACAGACCGCCCTCCGTCTCCCCGGCTGGGAACCTGTGTGTCTGTCCGCGCATCCCCCAGGGCCTCTGGTGCCTGTGTGCGGGCTGTGTCCGGGCCTCACGGGGACCGCGCTAACCCTCCTCCTTGTGTCCGCAGCCTGCTGCAGCTGGTGATCTCGGGGCCCGTGCCTCAGTCGCCCCACGCGGCCCTGCCCCCGGGCTTCTACCCTCACATCCACACGCCGCCACTGGGCTACGGGGCCGTGCCCGCCCACCCCGCCGCCCACGCCGCCCTGCCCACGCACCCCGGCCACACCTTCCTCTCGGGCATGGGGTTTCCCTTCAGGCCCATCCGCTAGGCCAGCGACGCCGAGCGGCACTGCCTTCGCCCGGCGGAGAGCCCGGGAGGACGGGAGGCGCGGCCCTCACAGCGCTGTCCTGGCGGAGATCGGGGCCAGCACAGGCCTGGCCACGCGGGAGAGTCCAGGCGGACAGACGAGGAAACGAGCGTGTCCAGCCTCCCTCCACAGAGCCACACGGCGTCCTCGGAGACGCCATCCTGAGCGCCCGCCCGCCGTCTGCCCGGGGACACGTGTGAGTGCACGAGCGGCGTTTGCACGTCCACTTGCCAGGGGGTGCGCGCCTGCCACAGCCCGGCCGCCCCGCACTCTGCCCGGGCCGTTCGGGGCCCGTGGTGCGTCCGGCACCACGGAGGGGCAGCTGGCCCGTCGGGTCCGGAGTTTTCTTTCCTGTGTTCAATAAACCTTTTCTAAACATCGCGTGGCCTGTGGGCTGTATGTCCGCAAGGAGGGGCGTGTTAGCTGCTGCCCTGGACAGAACCGGAAAGGCCCTCCTGTTCGGTGCCGTTGCCCGTTTCTCGCTGCGGAGAAGCCTGGGCGCGGGCAGGACTGAGGGCAGCACTTGCTGTGAGAAAGCATCCACCGCGCTCGGCTGGTTTGGGGTTTCGTCCTGGTGCCAGGTGTTCCTGAAGGGACCGGAGACACCTGTCGGGACTCGTGGCTGCCAAGACCAGGACGCGCAAGCTCTTACGGGCACAGAGGCCCAGCGCATGCAGTTCCTGCGGGACGCTTGGCCCTCGCAGCCCGGCTCCCTCCAAAGGCCGTTCGCTGTCCGGTCTAATTAGCATATTATGCTTTTATATATATAGATGGTGGGGAGCCAGGCATGCCACCGGCCCCCCGCCCGTGGTTTCCATCAACTCATTCACCCCTGAAGCTAGAACACAGGAGTTTTGATCCCCATTTGGGAATTTTTGAGTGCAGAGGGCCGTGAGGTGTTACGAGGATTTGCACCCAGTTTGCTCATTTAAATTACCTTTCAGTGGTTGTCAGGATACTTCAAGGTTGTCCAACCATCACCACTACCTTTTCTTATTTTTTAAAAGTTAAACATTGTGGAAAGGATCTGACTTTACCCCTATTGACTCATTCGCTCCTGCCCACCCCAGGTCTTCACCACCCTATTGTCTGTCCGTGGGCTATTTACTTGAAAACATTTCCTCATCCCCAAAAGAAACCCCATACTCAGTAATGGTCGCCCCCTCCTCCCAGCCCCTGGCAACCATCTTATTTCCTGTCTCTGTGGATTGGCCTTTTCTGGCCATTTCATATCAACAGCCATATGACTGGTCATTTGTGTCTGGCTTCTTCCACTGAGCACCACGCATCGTGGCAGGTCAGTACTTGATGACTTTTTCTTTGAATTCTCACTGAGGATACACTTACTGATTTTAGAGAGGGAGGGAAGGAGAGAGAGAACTATTGATGTGAGAGAGCATCGATTGGCTGCCTTCCGGAAATGCCCCAATTGGGGATCGGACCCACAACCTGGGTATGTGCTCTGACCAGGAATCAAGCCAGCAACCTTTTGGTGCCCAGGACGACGCTCCAGTGGACTGAGCCCTGGCAGGGCAGGACTGTGTTCCTTTTGTGGCCAAGTGAGGGTCCGTGTGTGGACGTTGACCCATTCCTTGGGAGGTGGACATCGGAACCTTTGGCTTTTATGAGTAATGCTATGTTCCGATTCTCATGGACACACACACACACACACACACACACACATTTACATGGGAACACTGTACAGTATTTTTTAAAATATATTTTTATTGATTTCAGAGTGGGAGAGACTCAAGAAACATCCTATACAATCCTATATAATTAAAGGGTAATGTGCAAATTGACCCTAACGGTGGAACAACCAGTCGATATGACATGCACTGACCACCAGTGGGCAGATGCTCAGCGCAGGAGCTGTCCCCTGGTGGTCAGTGCACTCCCCCTGGGGGAGCTGCGCTTAGCCACAAGCTGTGGGCGCAGCAGTGGTGGCGAGAGCCTCACACCTCCTTGGCCGCACTAGGATGTCCGACTGACAGCTTCGGCCCATCCCCAGCTGGCAGGTGGACATCCCCTGAGGGGTCCTGCACTGCAACAGGGCGCAGGCTCGGCCGAGTGCCCCCCCGAATACACAAATTTTTGTGCACCGGGCCTCTAGTCAATGATAAGAGAGAATCATCAATTGGCAGCCTTCTGCATGCCCCCTCCTGGGGACTGAGCCTGCAGCTGGGCATGTGCCCTTGATCAGAATTGGACCCAGGAACCTTCAGTCTGCAGGCCAATGCTCTATACACTGAGCAAAACCGGCTAGGGCCAGTATTTTTTTTTTTTTTTAATACGGAAAATTCAGAAATAGTTTGAATAGCCATCAGGAGAGGACCAGCCATTCCCTAAGGCAGTGTTCGGCAAACTGCGGCTCTGTTCACTAATGAGTTACCAGACCACTGACTGCCCCAGGGACCAGGCAGGTTATGGCAATGGGTGAAGGTCCCAGAATTAGCCACCAGGGGAGCCGGGCACTTTGCTCAGCTGGGGAGCACCTGGATGGTTGCTGTGCCTGGGCACCGGACCCAGGTGGGTGCTGTCAGGACCTCTGTTTTCAGGAGAAGATGGACATATTTTTATGTTGCATTTTTTAGATTCTAGGATGCCACCTTTGGTGTTGGAAGTCAAAAGGACGGTGGAGGATGGGTAATAATCAGAAGAGGCTTCTTCGTGCAGTGGCGAGTGTGGGGTTTATGTCCATTCATGTTGTACGCTGATGAACACTTTTCCACACACTGTCACACTTTAATGAAAGTTCCCTCTGCTCCGGCCGGTGTTGCTCAGCGGTCAGAGCAGCGGCCCGCAAACCAAAGGGTTTCAGGTTTGATTTCCAGTCAAGGGTGTGTACTTGGGTTGCAGGTTCAATCCCTGTCCCTGACCAGGGTATGTGTAGAAGGCAACCAATTGATGTGTCTCCCTTGCATTGATGTTTCTCTCTCTCTCTCTCTCTCTCTCTCTCTCTCTCTCTCTCTCTCTCTCTCTCCCTCCCTCCCTCCCTCCCTCCCTCCCTCTCTCTCCCTCCCTCCCTCCCTCCCTCCCCCCCTCCACTCTAACAATCAATGGAAACATCCTCAGGTGAGGATTAACAAAAAGGAAAAAAAAAAAAACCACAGAAATCTTCCAGCTGCTTCAAAATGCCGTATTTTATGCCTTCTTTAACTGAGGAAATTATATTCAACATCATCAAGAGTGTTTGTGTGTGTGTGTGTGTGTATATATATTATTGATTTTTTACAGAGAGGAAAGGAGATAGCTAGAAACATCGATGAGAGTCATCCATCAGCTGCCTCTTGCACGCCCCCTACTGGGGATGTGCCCGCAACCAAGGTACATGCCCTTGACCAGAATTGAACCTGGGACCTATCCATTGAGCCAAACCGGTTTCAGCAATCAAGAGTGTTTTAAAATGCATGGCTCCATGGTTGAGCACAGACCTATGAACCTGGAGCTCAGGGATCGATTCCCGGTTGCAAGCTCCATCCCCAGGAGGGGGCGTGCAAGAGGCACCGATGAATGATTCTCATTGATGTTTGTATCTCTTCCTCTCCCTCTCTGAAATCAATAAAAAAAAAACAAAAAAAAACACATTTTTTTTTTTTAGAAAAGAACTTAGGAGAAAAACAGACTATTACATTATGCAAGTTTATCATTTCTTTTGCCTTTTCTCCAGTTCCTGATGTCCCAAACTTCACTCTGGTGTCCCTTAGCATTTCAAAGAGGGATGTCAATGGATGGCAAACCACATGACAGCATCATTAGCACGTTCGTGGGAAATGCAGCAAGAGAGCAGAAGCAGCGGGTGGACTGGGAAGTTAGCAGACATTTCTGATGCTGCTGACACCACAAGAACCGTTGGACTTACTCACATAGGCACATCGCTACCTTGAGAAAAGCTCAGGAGGAGGAGAAGAGGGGACAGTTGGTTTGAGCTGGGAGTGCAAGTGTGGGCCGGAGGAAGACGGGAGGGAGACTGGAGGCTGGGGAAGGCACTTCCCTGTAACTTGCATCATGGGAGGGTGAGCAGCCCGCCCAGCAGAGCCTGCACAGGAGACAGAGAGGCTGGCTGAGGGGGACGAGGAAGGGGGGCAGCCCAGGCCCTTTTTTATTTTTATTTTATTTTTAAAAAATATATTTTATTAATTTTACAGAGAGGAAGGGAGAGGGACAGAGAGAATCATCGATGAGAGAGAGACATCAATCAGCCACCTCCCGCACACCCTGCATTGGGGATGTGCCCTCAGCGAAGGCACATGCCCTTGACCGGAATCGAACCTGGGAGCCCCAGTCCGCAGGCTGACGCTCCATCCACAGCCAAACCGGTTTCGGCAGCCCAGGCCCTTTTAGAACTCCTGACGGCCACGGGACAAGAGTCCAGTGCTGCCTGGACGCCTAGCAAGATGAGGGGTTAGTGACAGGGCGGTCACTGGTGACATTAGGGGCTGTCTGGGGAGTGATGGGCCAGGTGGGAGAGGGGGAGAGGTGGCAGATGGGGACACACAGAACCACTAGGGGCATCTTTCCAGGAAGATGGCCACCAGGGGCAGGGGAGAGGGGAGAGGGGAGAGGCTGAGGCCCTTAGAAAGCAGCAGTTAGAAAGCAGCAGGTGGGCGGGCGGGGCAGGAGGAGGTGGAGGGAGCGGTCGCCCTCCCAGCGCTGGAGGCCGGGCTCCTGCGGTGCAGCCTGTCTCAGCCACAGGTGGAGGGTCACCGTTTGCCACCGCTGACCCCAGATGGCTCCACCTCCAAAGCTGGGTGTCTGTGGCTGCCCTTGGCCCCTCACGAGGCAGGTGTGCCCTCTGCCCTCCAGGGCCCCACTCTGCTTTTCACCCCATCTCCCCCCAACACACACACACACACACACACCACCCCATCCTCACCCCCCCCACACCCCTCCCCACTCCCACTCCATCCCCACCTCACCCCACCCCCCCCAACACACACACACACACACACACACACCCACACCCACCCTCATCCTCACCTCACCCTACACCCCACCCCACACCCCCCCAACACACACACACACACACACACACACCCCTCCCACCCTCATCCTCACCTCACCCTACACCCCACCCCACACCCCCCCAACACACACACACACACCCCTCCCACCCTCATCCCCATCTCACCCTACACCCCACCCAACACACACACACCCCACCCCACTCCCCTCATCCCCACCTCACCCTACACCCCACTCCATACCCCCAACCCCCCCCTACCCCACCCCGTGCAGCGCCTGGTTCTCCGAGCCGCACCGATGCCTGAGGCGGTGCGGGTCCGGGCCGCGGGGGCCGCCGGGGGCTGCGGGCCGGGAAGGGTTAAGCCACCGAGCTGGCGGCGGCGGCTAGAGCGGCGGCGGGCCGCGCGGGGACAGGATGCGGGGCCGGGGGACTTCCTGTGCGGCCCGCCGCCCGCGCCCACCGCCCCGGCGGCCGGACGCGCTCCGGCGAGTGGACCGCGAACCGGGCCCCGCCGCCGCCGCCCCCGCCCGCGGCCCGCGGAGCCCCGGACCCGGCGCCCGGCCGAGCCGGCCCCATGGCGCCCGGCCGAGGCCGAGGCCGACGGCGGCGGGGCCGCCCCGCCCGGGCCGCCGCGGAGTCCGGAGGCCGGGGCCGCGGGCGCGGGTCCCGCCGGGCCGGCCGCGGCCGCCGCCCCGGGCCCCCGGCCTCCCGCGCGCCCTGGGCGCCCGGCCCCGCGGGCGGCGCCTCGGGAGCCAGCTGGCTGGCGGCGCTGCTCCTGCCGCGCTGCGGGCCACACCTCCCCGACATCCCCGAGATGCCCGAGGTGCTGTTCCAGGTGAGCGGCCGGGGCGGGCCGGCACCCAGGGGCGGGCACCCAGGGGCAGCACCCAGGGGCGGGCACCCGGGCGGCACCCAGGGGCAGCACCCAGGGGCGGGCACCCGGGCGGCACCCAGGGGCGGGCACCCGGGGCGGCACCCAGGGGCAGCACCCAGGGGCGGGCACCCGGGGCAGCACCCAGGGGCGGACACCCAGGGGCGGGCACCCGGGGCGGCACCCAGGGGCAGCACCCAGGGGCGGGCACCCGGGGCAGCACCCAGGGGCGGGCACCCGGGGCGGCACCCAGGGGCGGGCACCCGGGGCAGCACCCAGGGGCAGCACCCAGGGGCGGGCACCCGGGGCGGCACCCAGGGGCGGACACCCAGGGGCGAGCACCCGGGCGGCACCCAGGGGCGGGACCGGGGGTCCCTGCTCGGCGGGGCGCTCGGAGAGGCCGGAGCCCCCAGGCCGGGGCCCCGGGCGCAGGCGGGGGCCGGCGGGGCTGGCGGCTGACAGCTGCCTCCCTCCGTGCTGCCCGCCGGGACGGTGCGGCCGGGACCCTGACACTGCGTGCGGGAGGCCGGGTCCGGTCCGGAGGCTGAGCCAGAGCGCAGAGACTTTCCCGTAACTTCCCACGGCCTCCCGGGCGCCCAGTGTCCGGGACCTCAGCTCCCCGTCCACGCTCCCACCCGCCTCTCCTCCTGCTCTCCTCTCCCCTCCCCTCCCCTCCCCTCCCCTCCCCTCTCCCCTCTCCTCTGTTCTCCCCTCCCTTCCCCTCCCCTCCCCTCCCCTCCCCTCCCCTCCCCTTCCCTCTGTTTTCCCCTCCCTTCCCCTCCCCTCCCCTCTCCCCTCTCCTCTGTTCTCCCTTCCCTTCCCCTCCCCTCCCTTCCCCTCCCCTCTCTTCTTTCCTTCCCGCTCCCCTCCCCTCCCCTCCCTCCCCTCTCCGCTGAGCTCCCCAAACCCCCGGAGGGGAAGGCCCCCACCTCGGTGCCGCCCTCCCTGTCCCCAGCAGAGGGCACCGACCTCCTTCCAACAGGGTGGGGCTGCGGGCTCTGGGGCTGACTGATGTGGGGGTTCCCTGGCAGTGGGCCAGGCTGGGGCTCCCACTCCCCGGCCCTGACAGCTTCCTTCCTTCCTTCCTCCCTCCCTCCCTGTCCACGCAGCCGGCTCCCGGGAGGCTGCTGACCGCCAGGATAGAGCTGGGGGCCCGGCGGCTTGAAGATGGGCGCCCGGGGCCGGCCACCCTCTCAGGTGAGGGGCTGGGGGCCTCTGGCCTCCGGAGCCTGGGGACGGCGAGGAGGCGGCAGGCCGGCGCCGTCCGGAAGGGCACCCGGTTGTTAGGAGTCGCTTTCTAGAAGGAAATATTTATCCGTTTCATGAAATCGGGATCTTCCTGGGAAAGTGACCAGAAAGCACAACTTTAAAAGCCAAACCTCTGCTTCCGGTACGAAAAGGAGCTTGTGATGGTGAAGCCAGACTGGGGGGTGGAGAGAGCCTCTGAGGTCTCTGCTGGCCCAGGAGGACTCAGCCTGGGGGCGCGGTGCGGGAGGGGACCCCGGTGCGGGCGGGAACCCCATGCGGGAGGTGACCCCGTGACCCCGGTGCAGGGTGACCCGGTGGGAGAGGTGACCCCGTGACCCCGGTGCAGGGTGACCCGGTGGGGGAGGTGACCCGGTGGGGGAGGTGACCCGGTGGGGGAGGTGACCCTGTGACCCCGGTGGGGGAGGTGACCCGGTGGGGGAGGTGACCCGGTGCGGGAGGTGACCCCGGTGCGGGAGGTGACCCGGTGGGGGAGGTGACCCGGTGGGGGAGGTGACCCGGTGGGGGAGGTGACCCGGTGCGGGGTGACCCCGGTGGGGGAGGTGACCCGGTGGGGGAGGTGACCCGGTGCGGGAGGTGACCCGGTGGGGGAGGTGACCCGGTGGGGGAGGTGACCCTGTGACCCCGGTGGGGGAGGTGACCCGGTGGGGGAGGTGACCCGGTGGGGGAGGTGACCCGGTGGGGGAGGTGACCCGGTGGGGAAGGTGACCCGGTGGGGGAGGTGACCCCGGTGGAGGAGGTGACCCCGGTGGGGGAGGTGACCCGGTGCGGGGTGACCCGGTGGGGGAGGTGACCCTGTGACCCCGGTGCGGGAGGTGACCCGGTGGGGGAGGTGACCCGGTGGGGGAGGTGACCCTGTGACCCCGGTGGGGGAGGTGACCCGGTGGGGGAGGTGACCCCGGTGGGGGAGGTGACCCGGTGGGGGAGGTGACCCGGTGGGGGAGGTGACCCGGTGGGGAAGGTGACCCGGTGGGGGAGGTGACCCCGGTGGAGGAGGTGACCCCGGTGGGGGAGGTGACCCCGGTGGAGGAGGTGACCCCGGTGGGGGAGGTGACCCGGTGCGGGGTGACCCGGTGGGGGAGGTGACCCTGTGACCCCGGTGGGGGAGGTGACCCGGTGGGGGAGGTGACCCGGTGGGGGAGGTGACCCTGTGACCCCGGTGGGGGAGGTGACCCGGTGGGGGAGGTGACCCGGTGGGGAAGGTGACCCGGTGGGGGAGGTGACCCGGTGCGGGAGGTGACCCCGGTGGAGGAGGTGACCCCGGTGGGGGAGGTGACCCGGTGCGGGGTGACCCGGTGGGGGAGGTGACCTGGTGCGGGGTGACCCGGTGGGGGAGGTGACCCCGGTGGGGGAGGTGACCCGGTGGGGGAGGTGACCCGGTGCGGGGTGACCCGGTGGGGGAGGTGACCCGGTGGGGGAGATGACCCGGTGGGGGAGGTGACTGGTGCAGGGTGACCAGTTGGGAGGTGACCCGGTGCGGGGTGACCAGTTTGGGAGGTGACCGAGCGGCCACCCAGTGCCCCTGGTCTGTAGGCTTCCTCTCCGCTCGCTCCACACTGGGCTGTGCGTCTGTCTTCAGGCCCCGGACGGTTTGTCTCCTCGATGGAGACACCGGGAGGCAGGGAGCTGGCCAGTCCATGTTCACGTGGGGCCGGGAGTCCTTTGCCGCCCAGAGCCCAGCCTCAGACACTCCGGGCTTCAGGCCGTCACAGTGGAGCTAGTGGCAGCCTTGAGGCTTCCAGACTGGCTGTTCGTTTGCAGAGGAGCTGCTAGCTCGCAGGGCAAGGGCCTCGGGCATCGCCCACGTCCCAGGGCCGGTGCCAGGGCGCTGCCCTTCCCGCGACGGCCGCAGGGTGGCACCCTTGGCCGTTTTACAGACACCGGGCGCTGGCCTGCAGGAGGCCAGGCAGCGGCTACCTTAGAGGCCAGCGGCCGAGGGGAGCCCTGGGGACTCAGGCCTCCCCCCCCCCCCCGGAGCCTCGTGCTCTGGCTGGAACCCGGCTTCTTGCAGAAAGCTCGTGCGGGAGCGCTTCCCGGCAGTCTGACCGAAACGCTTCCCTCTTCACAGGGAAAGCAAGTTTCATTCCTCGGTGCGACCCCAGCCGAGGTCTGCGTGCAGCGGGGCCTGGAGTGGCTGGCTCACGGGTGATGACTGGGCACCAGGGGTTTCTTGGGAAATGGCGGGAGCCCGGACACCCATGTGGGGTCACTGCCAAGCTCCAAGGGGGGCAGCCCAGAGAAGGGGTCAAGGTCTGGGGTCCAGACTGATGTGACAGTCAGTCTTTGTGGTGCATTTTAAAAATATATATATTTTTTTATTGATTTCAGAGAAAGGAAGAGTGAGAGAGAATCATTGATCCTCCTGCATGCCCCCGACTGGGGATTGAGCCTGCAACCTGGGCATGTGCCCTTGACTGGAATCAATCCCGGGATCCCTCAGTTCACAGGCTAACGCTCTATCTACTGAGCCACACTGGCCAGGGCTGGGGTGCATTATTAAAAATATGTATTTTATTGATTTTTTACAGAGAGGAAGGGAGAGGGATAGAGAGTTAGAAACTTCGATGAGAGAGAAACATCGACCAGTTGCCTTCTGCACACCCCCACCGGGGATGTGCCCACAACCAAGATACATGCTCTTGACCGGAATCGAACCCGGGACCCTTTAGTCTGCAGGCTGACGCTCTATCCACAGAGATAAACCATCCAGGGCTGGGTGCATTTTTAAGTCAACCCCTCTCCTCAGGGCATTTCTGTGTCAGTGACCTAGTTGCGGAGAGCTCAGCCGTGCGTCCGAGAGGGGCTGCACGCCGGGCAGGGCAAGGGGAGGTCCTGAGGGCTGGACCAGAGAGCCCCTCTAGAGCTTTCTCTCCTGACTTCCTGCCTTGTCCCCTCCAGGTGGGAGCGGGAGCCGGGGGGGAGAGGCTCCGGAGAGGAGCAGTGCACCGCGGCCAGTCATCTCTGCCCCAAAGCAGGCCAGCGAGAGCGCCCCGCAGGCCCAGGCAGCACGGCAGGAGCGGCGGCCGCCGCAGCCCCTGCCGGGGCAAGGGCGGCGCCGGCTGTGGCAGCGCCCTCCGAAGCGGCGGCCGCCAGGGCCCGTGCACCACCCACTGGAACACTGGATGGAACTGTGGCCGCCGCCGCCTCCCGCCAGGCAAGGGCAGCTGCAGGAACCCCAGCAACACCTGCCCGCGAAGCCACAGCTGCCGCAGAGGCAACAGGTGCCAGGGCAGCCAATGCCAGAGCAGCAGCAGGAACAGCCGCCGCGGCTGCAAGAACTACAGGAAGAACCCCGGCCTGGGCAGCAGGAGCAGCTGCAGCTGAGGCAGCAGCAGGAAGTGTTACAAGCGCAGCAAGAACAGGAACAGCAGCAGGTGCGACAGCAGGAACAGCTAGGACAGCAGGCACTGCCGCAGCACCGAGGACAGTCACAGATCCAGGAGCAGTTACAGCAGCGGCAGCAGCAAGAACAGTCACAGATCCAGGAGCAGTTACAGCAGCGACAGCACCGAGGACAGTCACAGATCCAGGAGCAGTTACAGCAGCGGCAGCAGCAAGGACAGTCACAGATCCAGGAGCAGTTACAGCAGCGGCAGCAGCGAGGACAGTCACAGATCCAGGAGCAGTTACAGCAGCGGCAGCAGCGAGGACAGTCACAGATCCAGGAGCAGTTACAGCAGCAACAGCAGCAAGGACAGTCACAGATCCAGGAGCAGTTACAGCAGTGGCAGCAGCGAGGACAGTCACAGATCCAGGAGCAGTTACAGCAGCGGCAGCACCGAGGACAGTCACAGATCCAGGAGCAGTTACAGCAGCAGCAGCAGCAAGGACAGTCACAGATCCAGGAGCAGTTACAGCAGCGACAGCACCGAGGACAGTCACAGATCCAGGAGCAGTTACAGCAGCGACAGCAGCAAGGACAGTCACAGATCCAGGAGCAGTTACAGCAGCGACAGCACCGAGGACAGTCACAGATCCAGGAGCAGTTACAGCAGCGGCAGCACCGAGGACAGTCACAGATCCAGGAGCAGTTACAGCAGCAGCAGCAGCAAGGACAGTCACAGATCCAGGAGCAGTTACAGCAGCGACAGCACCGAGGACAGTCACAGATCCAGGAGCAGTTACAGCAGCAGCAGCAGCGAGGACAGTCACAGATCCAGGAGCAGTTACAGCAGCGGCAGCAGCAAGGACAGTCACAGATCCAGGAGCAGTTACAGCAGCGGCAGCAGCGAGGACAGTCACGGATCCAGGAGCAGTTACAGCAGCGGCAGCAGCGAGGACAGTCACAGATCCAGGAGCAGTTACAGCAGCAGCAGCAGCAGCAAGAACAGTCACAGATCCAGGAGCAGTTACAGCAGCGGCAGAAGCAGGAACAGTCAAAGATCCAGGAGCAGTTACAGCAGCAACAGCAGAGAGGACAGTCACAGATCCAGGAGCAGTTACAGCAGCGACTGTTGCAGCAGCAGGAACAGTCACAGATCCAGGAGCAGTTACAGCAGCAGCAAAAACAGTCACAGATCCAGGAGCAGTTACATCAGCGGCAGAAGCAGGAACAGTCAAAGATCCAGGAGCAGTTACAGCAGCAACAGCAGAGAGGACAGTCACAGATCCAGGAGCAGTTACAGCAGCAACAGCAGCGAGGACAGTCATGGATCCAGGAGCAGTTACAGCAGCGGCAGCAGCGAGGACAGTCACGGATACAGGAGCAGTTACAGCAGCGGCAGCAAGAACAGTCACAGATCCATGAGCAGTTACCGAAGCGGCAGCAGCGAGAACAGTCACAGATACAGGAGCAGTTACAGCAGCGACAGCAGCGAGAACAGTCACAGATCCAGGAGCAGTTACAGCAGCGACAGCAAGAACAGTCACAGATCCATGAGCAGTTACCGAAGCGGCAGCAGCGAGGACAGTCACGGATTCAGAAGCAGTTACATCAGCGGCAACAGCAAGAACAGTCACGGATCCAGGAGCAGTTACAGCAGCGGCTGTTGCAGCAGCAGGAACAGTCACAGATCCAGGAACAGTTACAGCAGCGACAGCACCGAGGACAGTCACAGATCCAGGAGCAGTTAAATCAGCAGCAGCAGCAAGAACAGTCACAGATCCAGGAGCAGTTACAGCAGCGGCAGCAGCGAGGACAGTCACAGATCCAGGAGCAGTTACAGCAGCAACAGCAGCGAGGACAGTCACAGATCCAGGAGCAGTTACAGCGGCAGCAGCAAGGACAGTCACAGATCCAGGAGCAGTTACAGCAGCGGCAGCAGCGAGGACAGTCACAGATACAGGAGCAGTTACAGCAGCGACAGCAGAGAGGACAGTCACGGGTCCAGGAGCAGTTACAGCAGCGGAAGCAGCGAGGACAGTCACGGATCCAGGAGCAGTTACAGCAGCGGCAGCAGCGAGGACAGTCACAGATACAGGAGCAGTTACAGCAGCAGCAAGAACAGTCACAGATCCAGGAGCAGTTACAGCAGCGGCAGCAGCAAGGACAGTCACAGATCCAGGAGCAGTTACAGCATCGGCAGCAGCGAGAACAGTCACAGATCCAGGAGCAGTTAAAGCAGCGGCAGCAGCAAGGACAGTTACAGAACCAGGAGCAGTTACAGCAGCAGCAAGAACAGTCACAGATCCAGGAGCAGTTACAGCAGCGGCAGCAGCGAGGACAGTCACAGATACAGGAGCAGTTACAGCAGCGGCAGCAGCGAGGACAGTCACAGATACAGGAGCAGTTACAGCAGCGGCAGCAGCGAGGACAGTCACAGATCCAGGAGCAGTTACAGCAGCGACAGCAGAGAGGACAGTCACGGGTCCAGGAGCAGTTACAGCAGCGGAAGCAGCGAGGACAGTCACGGATCCAGGAGCAGTTACAGCAGCGGCAGCAGCGAGGACAGTCACGGATCCAGGAGCAGTTACAGCAGCGGCAGCAGCGAGGACAGTCACAGATCCAGGAGCAGTTACAGCAGCAGCAGCAGCAGCAAGAACAGTCACGGATCCAGGAGCAGTTACAGCAGCGGCAGCAGCGAGGACAGTCACAGATCCAGGAGCAGTTACAGCAGCGGCAACAGCAAGAACAGTCACGGATCCAGGAGCAGTTACAGCAGCGACAGCAGCGAGAACAGTCACAGATACAGGAGCAGTTACAGCAGCGGCAACAGCAAGAACAGTCACGGATCCAGGAGCAGTTACAGCAGCGGCAGCAGCGAGGACAGTCACAGATACAGGAGCAGTTACAGCAGCAGCAAGAACAGTCACAGATCCAGGAGCAGTTACAGCAGCGGCAGCAGCAAGGACAGTCACAGATCCAGGAGCAGTTACAGCATCGGCAGCAGCGAGAACAGTCACAGATCCAGGAGCAGTTAAAGCAGCGGCAGCAGCAAGGACAGTTACAGAACCAGGAGCAGTTACAGCAGCAGCAAGAACAGTCACAGATCCAGGAGCAGTTACAGCAGCGGCAGCAGCGAGGACAGTCACAGATCCAGGAGCAGTTGCAGCAGCGGCAGCAGCAAGAACAGTCACAGATCCAGGAGCAGTTACAGCAGCAGCAGCGAGGACAGTCACAGATCCAGGAGCAGTTACAGCAGCGGCAGCAGCAAGAACAGTCACAGATCCAGGAGCAGTTACAGCAGCAGCAGCGAGGACAGTCACAGATCCAGGAGCAGTTACAGCAGCGGCAGCAGCGAGGACAGTCACAGATCCAGGAGCAGTTGCAGCAGCGGCAGCAGCAAGGACAGTCACAGATCCAGGAGCAGTTACAGCAGAAGCTTTTGCAGCAGCAACAACAGTCACAGATCCAGGAGCAGTTACAGCAGCGGCTGTTGCAGCAGCAAGAACAGTCACAGATCCAGGAGCAGTTACAGCAGCGGCTGTTGCAGCAGCAAGAACAGTCACAGATCCAGGAGCAGTTACAGCAGCGGCTGTTGCAGCAGCAAGAACAGTCACAGATCCAGGAGCAGTTACAGCAGCGGCTGTTGCAGCAGCAAGAACAGTCACAGATCCAGGAGCAATTACAGCAGAAGCTTTTGCAGCAGCAACAACAGTCACAGATCCAGGAGCAGTTACAGCAGCAGCAGCGAGGACAGTCACAGATCCAGGAGCAGTTACAGCAGCGGCAGCAGCAAGGACAGTCACAGATCCAGGAGCAGTTACAGCAGCGGCAGCAGCAAGAACAGTCACAGATCCAGGAGCAGTTACAGCAGCGGCTGTTGCAGCAGCAAGAACAGTCACAGATCCAGGAGCAGTTACAGCAGCGGCAGCAGCGAGGACAGTCACAGATCCAGGAGCAGTTACAGCAGCGGCTGTTGCAGCAGCAAGAACAGTCACAGATCCAGGAGCAGTTACAGCAGCGGCAGCAGCGAGGACAGTCACAGATCCAGGAGCAGTTACCGCAGCAGCAGCAGCAAGAACAGTCACAGATCCAGGAGCAGTTACAGCAGCGGCAGCAGCGAGGACAGTCACAGATCCAGGAGCAGTTACCGCAGCAGCAGCAGCAAGAACAGTCACAGATCCAGGAGCAGTTACAGCAGCAGCTGTTGCTGCAGCAAGGACCGTCACAGATCCAGGAGCAGTTACAGCAGCAGCTGTTGCAGCAGCAGCAGCAGCAGTTACAGCAGCAGCAGTTGTTACAGCAGCAGCAGCAGTTGCAGCAGCAGCAGGAAGAGCTGCAGCGGCAGATGTTGGAACAACAGCAGTTACAGCAGCAGCTGCTGCAACAGCAACAGTTACAGCAGCAGATGTTGCAACAACAGCTGTTGCAGCAGCAGCAGCTGCTGCAGCAGCAAGAGCAGTTGCAACAGCAGCAGCTGCAGCGCCGCCCGGTGGAACCGGAGGAGAAGGAGGAGGAGCAGATGGTGGAGCTGCAGCTCATGCCGGTGGACTTGGAGTCGGAGCTGGAGCAGCAGCGGCAGGAGGAGCTGGCACGGCAGCAGGAACAGCGGCAGCTGCAGCTCAAACTGAAGGAGCAGCTGCAGCAGCTGGAGCAGCAACTGCAGCTGGAACAGGAGCAGGAGGTGCAGCTGGAGCTGACCCCGGTGGAACCTGAGCTGCAGCTGGAGCTGGTGTCCACTGTGGGGCCAGGCCCGGCTTCTGGACCTGGCGCCTCGGGACCTGTCGTGGTGGGCCCCCCGGGCTACGTGGTGTTGCAGGAGCTTGTGGTGCTGCCAGCCGTGGCCCCTACACAGCCGTCTGTGGCCCTGCCACCACCAGCTGTGGTGCCACCGCCAGCTGTGGTCCTGCCAGCCATGGCTCTGCCGCCACCAGCCATGGCCCCACTGCCACCAGCCGTAGCCCCGCCCGCTGTGGCCCTGCCAGCCGTAGCACTGCCACCGCCAGCCGTGGCCCTGCCAGCCGTGGCCCCACCACCAGCAGCCGTGGCCCTGCCAGCCGCGGCACCGCCGCCACTGCCACCGCCGCCACCACTGCCACCGCCGGCCATGGCCCCACGGCCGCCGGCCGTGCTGCCCATCCCAGGCCCCGCTGGCAGCGCCGCCCTGACTCCAGCCCGGCAGCGGCGACGCCGGCACGGCCGGAACCGGCCGACCACCTGCAGCGAGTGCGGCAAGGCCTTCAGCCGCAGCACCGACCTGGTGCGGCACCAGGCCACGCACACGGGCGAGCGGCCGCACCGCTGCGGGGACTGCGGCAAGGCCTTCTCGCAGCACTCGAACCTGGTGACGCACCAGCGCATCCACACGGGCGAGAAGCCCTACGCCTGCACGCACTGCTCCAAGCGCTTTGGCGAGAGCTCCGCGCTGGTGCAGCACCGGCGCACGCACACGGGCGAGCGGCCCTACGCCTGCAGCGACTGCGGCAAGTGCTTCAGCGTTTCCTCCAACCTGCTGCGCCACCAGCGCACGCACTCGGGCGCGCTGCCCTACGTGTGCGCGGACTGCGGCGAGCGCTTCCGCCACAAGGTGGAGATCCGCCGGCACGAGCGCCAGCTGCATGGCGCCGGCCGCTCGCGGGGCCTGGGGCTGCTCCGCGGGCCGAGCGCGGGGCAGGCGGCCGGGGGCAAGGCTCCGTGACCGGGAGGAGCCGCCCCTCGGACAGGGGACTCACATCGTGGCCTCCGTGGCCCGCTCCGTGGCCCGGCGGGATAACCTGGCGTGGCGCCCGGAAGAGGCTCCCTGCGGGTGGAACACGTTCACCCGCAGAAACACCCGGCGGAGAGGCCGGCGTGGCCGGAGCGGCAGATGTGCACACCGGCACCCGCGGCACAGGCACAGGCACAGGCACAGGCACGCGCACGCACCGGATTGGGTACCGGTGGTCCAGAAGGCCGCCAGCTTGCCGCCCTGGGCACATTGATCTTTCAGGCACCGAAGGGACCCTTGGTGACAGTGGACACGGAGCGCGCACTAACCAGGGGATCAAATACCCCAGGCGGTGGGGGCAGTCCCATGTGCTCGCAGGAAGGACGTGGTCCGGTGAGAATTAGTCCAAGGAAACGGGCGGACGGCCGCCTGTCTGCACCAGCAGAAAAGGGTGAAGGCACATTGTCCTCAGGGCCATGTGCCCTGGAAATATTTTCTCATCAGGGCGGCTAGAACTCGACTCATATGTGTGTGTTCTTTTCTGTTTGTTTGTTTTTAAATAAATATTTTATTGATCTTTCACAGAGAGGAAGGGAGAGGGAATGAGAGCTAGAAACATCGATGATAGAGAAACATCGACCAGCTACCTCCTGCACATCCCCCACTGGGGATGTGCCCATAACCAAGGTACATGTCCTTGACCGGAATCGAACCTGGGACACTTCAGTCCGCAGGCTAATGCTCTATTCACTGAGCCAAACCAGTTAGGTCCCGTGTCTTCTTTTTTTAAAAAAAATATGTTTTTATGGATTTCAGAGAGGAAGGGAGAGGGAGAAAGGGATAGAAACTTCAATGATGAGAGAGAATCATAGACCAGCTACCTCTTGCGCGCCCCCTACTGGGCATGGAGTCTGCAAACCGGGCATGCGCCCTGACCGGTAATGGAACTGTGACCTGGTTTATAGGCCAATGCCCAACCGCTGAGCCACACGGGAGTGGCAGTGCCCTCTTGACTGGAAGCCTGTGGCTGAAGCAGAGGGCATTCTGGGAGGGCTGTCCAAGGAAGTGACCCCCCTGGAAAGCACTCTGGGGTTCTCCCCCTCCCTGCCGCCCTGTGGCTCTTGCCCAGCAGCTGAGGTTGGGGATGGGGCCCCCAGGCATGGGCCTCCTGGGCCGGGCCGGGCAGCGGCTGGCCTGGGCAGACCTGCCTCGTCACGGGGGTCCAAGGAGACTGCTGGGGACGAGGACGAAGACGCCAGCAGTGCCCTTCCATTTACAGAGTCACCTGGGGGTCGCTAATGTCCATGGGAAGGCAGGCGGGTGGGGAGGCCGCCCCCCACAGCCACCCCAGCGCTGCCTGCCCCTGGCGTCCGGTCCTACCTGCGGCTGCTTACGTCCCACCCTCCTCCCTCCCTGCTTCTCCTTTACCAACACGGCCTGCTACAGCCCACAGTGTGTTGGTAAGTGAGAAAGAAAATAAACACGTGGAGAAACGCATTGTCCTGTCTGCATTTACCTCTGACTTTTTTAATCCTCACCCAAGGATGTTTTTGCATTGATTTTTAGGGAGGTTGGAAGGAAGAGGAGAGACAGAGGGAAACACCAAAGTGAGAGAGACACCTATTGGTTGCCTCCTGCATGCACCCTGACCAGGGCCCGGGCCAGGGAGGAGCCTGCAACCAAGGTACATGCCCTTGACCGAAATCGAACCCGGGACCTTTGGCCCGCAGGCCAACGCTCTCTCCCGGCTAGGGCCTGCCTCTGAATTTTGCAGAACGTTTCCTGGTTGCCCTAGACTCGTGGTTGGCAAACCATGGCTTGCGAGCCGCGGTTTGTCGCTCTGTTGACTAATGAGTTGGCCGACCACTGGGATAGGCGCTTACCGTATTCACAAGCAACAACAACAGCCTGTCATTATTGGCAGTGATCGGCAAACTCATTAGTCAACAGAGCGCCAAACCGCGGCTCGAGAGCTGCATATGGCTCTCAAGCCGCAGTTTGCCGACCACTGGGTTAGACTGAAGGCACTTGTCTCCAGGTGCATCCCAGTGCTCCTCACCCAGCCCCTTCCTTCCAGCTGGGCCCTGGGCTGGGGGTGGGCTTCCCCCGTGAAACCCCCGGGGGAGAGCCTGGGCGGCGGGAGGGCTGGGGCGGCGGCGGGGGGAGGGCCGGGGCAGGGGGAGGGCCCGGGCAGGGGGAGGGCCGGCGGGGGGAGGGCCGGGGCAGCGGCGGGGGGGGGGGGGGGGAGCTGGGGCGGCGGCAGGGGGAGGGCAGAGGCAGGGGGAGGGCCGGGGCAGGGGGAGGGCCGGGGCGGCGGCGGGGGGAGGGCCAGGGCAGGGGGAGGGCCGGGTCGGTCGGCGGTAGGGCCGGGGCAGGGGGAGGCGCTTGAGGAGGCACGTTGGCGTCTCCTGAGGACAGACCTTGGCTCAGTCCCTCCCAGGTGATCGTCTCCCTGTCGCTGTTACATGTGTGTGAGCCGTCGGGGAGGCGTGCTCACCTGCAGCGTCCTGCACCCCGTTTCAGCGCTGCCCGCCGTGGCGCATGTGGGGGGGAGGGTGCTGTCAGCCCCCACCATCGTCGTCGAGACGCCCGGTCTGTGTCAGCCTTCCTGTGCTCACCAGCCAGGACTCGGGACCGAGGCCTCCGGTGTGTGTGGGACTCAAATCCAGGACTGTCGGAGGCGCCTCCCTCTGCCCCGCCACCTGGGGGTGAGCCTGCCTGGCGGGCTGGCCCGCTGCTGGACAGAGCTCACCCCAGGTGGCTCTCAGACGTCTCCTCCTACAGGAAGCCCTCCTAGGCTTTCCAACGGGTGGGGGGCTGGCAGGGAGCCTGGCACAGAGGGGTGGTGACTGGTGCCCAGTCCCCATGTGCCCAGCGTGGGGAGCGGGCAGGGCGCCGTCATGAGGAGGCCCATCCAGCCAGGCGGGGCAGTGGTGAGAGCACTGTGTTCCCTCCCGACCTGGTGCCGTCGGGGCCAGAGACCTCTGGATAGAAGCGGGCCCGGTTCTGAGTCCGGCAAGGCCAGGTGGGGCTTACGCGGAGGAGCAGGGGTGGGGGGAGCCGGTGGGTGAATTCCTAAGGGGGAGATGCACAGCCGTCGGGGTTCTGGTGGAGCAGACCTGGTGGGATTCTTGCTGGAGGCAGGTGGGGGACGGGCGGGTAAGCAGGCACCCATCTGGGGGACACCGGGGTGAGCACTGTGGTTAAGTATGAAAGGCAATCAGATATCCGGGTGGGGAATCTGGCCGGACTGACCTGACAGGATTTTTGGTAAAACTGGGTGATGGCAGGCAGACACGGAAGCCCAAAAGGGGGACCTCAGTGCGATGAGGCGCAGACTTAAAGTTTGGTCAAGTCGAGATCTGTCACACACACACACACACACACACACAAGTATGCACGCACCATCCCTCCTCTGCCTGCCGTCCGGGCCCTGCCCCTGATTGCTTCTCTCTGCTTCATCGTAGGGGCCTGGACTTGACCCTCGTCTCTGTTTGCTGGACACTCCTGTCTTCTCCGCCTGCACCTCCTTTCTGCCCTCTGGCCCCCCAGCCTGGCCCTGTCCCTGCCCCCGGTGGCCTTGCTCCCAGCCTGCGCTGCACGCCTGCAGGAAGCTAGGACACACCCCAGGTCTGGGCAGGTCTGAGCCCTGAGAGGGGTGGGCAGGAGGCGCTGTCTCTGGAAGGGAGCCAAGCAGCGCCCTTCACCATGGGTCAAGGTTCACAGAACCAGGTTGATCAGGTTCCCCCAGACAGTTCCCACGCCCACAGCTTCACCCTGTCCCCTTGTGATACAGACGGGATGTCTGTCTACCTCAAATGCGCATGCTGAAATCCTGACCCTCAATGTGCGGGCATTAGGAGGCGGGGCCTGTGGAAGGTGATTAATAAGCCATGAGAGTGGAGCCCCCTGGATGGGATTAGCGCCCTCCCAAAAGCACGTTGTCCTTTCCTCCTTGGAGGGAGGGACACCGCGAGGTCCAGCTGGGAACGGAACATGGTCCTCCCGACACCCAGCCCGCCTGCACCTTGGCCTGTGCTTCCCGGACTCCAGAGCCGCGAACGAGAAATGTTTGTAGTTCCAGCCGCCCGCCCACGGTGTCTGTGTTACCGCAGCCCGAATGGTGACACCTGGTCGTCTGGAAACCACGTCTCTTTCCAGCTGGGCCTCCTCGGCCGCCTTTGGACAGCTCCCTGCCCTTCACCTGGACCCTGGCCATCGTGGGAGACCACAACCCAACCCCAACGCCCTGCCTGATGCCTTCAGGGGCTGGTTGTTGACAAGAGGTCCCTCCAAGGTGTGAGGCTCCCCCATGGGAAGGCCTGGCCCCTCAGACTTGCCCCCAACACCCCTCCTCCAGGCTCCCGCCCAGGCCAGGCTGCCCCGCCCCTCTGCGAGCCAGGTTCCCTCTCTCAGGCTGGGCTGCAGTGTCACTCACCTGCTTCACTCGGCCCCTGCCCAGGCTCAGTGTGTACCCCACTGCCCCCCCACCCCCCAGGGAAGAGAGCTGCTGGCTAACAGGTCAGACGCTGGCGGGCCCACAGTGGGTCTGTTCTTGTTCTTGCTGCTTCCTTCTCTCGTGGGGCACACAGGCCCCCAGCAGGCCCTGCCCGGGGTCACAATGCCAGCCACCTCTCTCTGCTGTCCTTCATGGGCAGCTGGGTGGAGGGCGGACCCCCGATCCTCGTTCAGCCCCCTCCTCGGCACCTCACGGGGGCAGAGGCTCAGCGGGCCCGGGCCCCTTCCTATACGCTCTTGTCTTCAGCTCACCGGCTGCCCCTCGAAGGGCAGGCAGTTGGCAGGACGGGCACATCTAGCCCATTGTGTCCACGAGTGGCACCAGCCCGGCCGGCGTGGCTCCATGGTTGAGCGCTGACCTATGGACCAGGAAGTCACAGTTCAGTTCCCAGTCAGGGCACATGCCCGGTTGCAGTCTCCATTCCTAGTGCTGGGAGAGCAGGGGCAGCCGCTCCATGATTCTCTGTCATCATGGATGTTTCTCTCTCTCCCTCTCCCTTCCTCTCTGAAATCAATAAAAACGTTATTTTTAAAAATGGCAGCAGATCCTTTCCCGATTCCCAATGGTCCAAATCACAGAAATGCCCTTGGTTTCATTCATGCTTGTATGGAGGAGCTCTCGTCACTGCCAGCACGACTGTCACTGCGTTCTGACGGGCCCGGGGGCTGACCTGTGTCTCCTGGGGGTGGGCTTGGCGCCATGGCTGAGTCTGGGCTCCTGTGTCCGGTCCCCCCGGCCTGTCCTGGGAATGCGGCGAGCCCCACAGGCCTTCATTTTGTTCTGGCCGGTCCCCACTGTGCTGACCCCCGCCCCCCATCCTCTTTCCTGCCTCCATCCACAACCCCCTGCCCCCAGTGGGTTCTCCCAGCCTTGGGACATGACTCCCCAGGCCTGGTGGCCCCGGGTCCAGCTGCCAGCCTCCATCCCTGGGGGGTGTGGGGAGAGGACCCGGATGTAGGATAGTTGACATGAGGGTGTGGGCCCAGCGCCCCAGGAGGCCTGAGATGCACCTGGACCAGGAGGCTCTGGGGCAGGGAGATGGGCCACTGGGGGGCTGGGAT